TAAAACTATTAAGATTGACCTGTATTTCTTTGTAGAAAATAGAACAAAATCTTGTAGCCAGTGCTTTTTAAGCTATAATACTAAGAGAAAAATAATTTGTCAATACAACTTCATGAGAAGTCACTACTATAAAAATGACAAACTTGGACTTTTATAAATTTATAGCATATTATTAGAGAAATTAAAATATTTTTTTTTTAATACACAAATAAACAAATAAATCAAATTTATAAGAATTTTTAACGTAGATAGGTGTGCTCTGAAAATTTATCATTTCGAAAATTCTACCGATTTAGTAGATTCATTTCACATCTTTATACAGAAAAAGAAACCTTATACGTATTGTTAGATATATCTTCAATGTTCACTCTACTAGTTGATACCTACAATAAGATCCTTGCGTTGCATTAAATACCCAAATCTACCATATTTAGACAAGTTAGAATCTATTGTAGAAATCTTATATTTATAAAATGTTTTCGAAGGTTCTACAAAGTTTCAGAATGATCCAATGATGAAATTCCACTAACTGACTAATTGTATTGTTGTAGAGATACTGCACTTTTATGGTATTTGCTGAATAAATGCCGTGGTTCTCATCAAGAAATCATAAAACTGATTTTCGAATTTCCACTTAAAACTTTGCACGAAGGTAATCTTTAATGAGAACGATTTCTTGCCAATGTGTCAGATTTTGTTCCTATTCTAAGCTACAGCTATGGTAAAAGCATATCACTTAATATCACTTACATACACCAGCTGATTCGATGTTTTTATTTCAGAACTGAAGCAAATCAAAAGACATGAAAATACTCTGAATAAAGTCTGTCGGTGCACAACGTTGCAAGTCAACAGCAGTGTCATATATCCAAGATTTTGGAGATGCCACCACGTCTCCCGCGGGAGAGATGCGGGTGTGGATGTGGGGGATGCGCATATCTAAAGGAGATCTTACATCTCCAGTGGTGAATGACCATATCTCTCGAGTGTGGGTGTCGTGTCTCCCGCTGGAGACGCGGCATCTCCCACGGGAGATGTGGTGGCATCTCCAAAATCTTGGATATGTGACACTACTCACGCTTGTACTATCTAAGTTGAAGATGTATTGAACTTACTGAGTACTTTTATTCCATGAATCACAATAAAGTCTTGTATCACCAAAATACCATAATTTATTTCCGCGTGAATCTTCACCAAATGGTTCAAAACGAAGAGAATCAGCTGGCATATTCTACAGACATACAACAACAAGACAAATAGAAAATATTATTTTTATTATATTCTTACCTCAGTTACTTGATCAATATCAGCTTTATTTAATCGTGCATCACATAAAGCACGAAGTACAGTAACTTTTTCAAAAATAGACATTTCGTGCCAGTCAGTTGTTGTGATTGTATCATCAGAGATTGTCATTGTAGTTGACAGAGTCGAAAGGTTAATATTCAGATCACATCGTTTGAGTACATTAGTAAGTGTAACAAACATATTACCTGAACTAGAAACACAAGAATTATTCAAAATTATTTTCTTACACAAAAAATTATTTTACTTGACATGTAAACGTGTCAATCCAGAGAGAAGAGATATGAGAAGTTCTTGTAGAAATGGATGTATTTCATTTGGATTATCCGATAATAAAGCATCTTCTAATTCTTCTTGATGAAAATCAAATAATTGAAAAGCATCACAAAAAATCCGAGCAAATAAAGATATATACGGAATTTGCCAACTATTTTGCAAAGCTTTAAAAAAAAAGAAAACTAAAAACATTAATTTCAACATGTTTTATTTACGTACTCTTTTGTATATTTGATAGTTGTGCATCAGGCCATTCTGATGACATAACCCTGGTTGTTGTTGTTGTTGTTGTTGTTTATTTCTGAAAAAAAGAAAACAAATTTGGTATGAGTCATTAATACATTTGACCATTATTAGAATGATTTAGATGAGTCATTGTTTTGAATTTAGTTCGATTATTTTATCTTGACTTTTGACAATTCGAATGAGATAAATTTATGTGATAAGAAGATTTTCTTTTTTGTTTTTCTTTTGTAAATAAACAAACCTATGAATCGATTTATGTATGAAACTTTTTTTATCTATTTATAATTCTTTATTTTTCGAATAAAAAAACAACTAAGTTTATATTGAATATCTTGATTAAGATAATTGAAATTACGAGTAATATCAATGAGAAAACACTTTTGCGCTTCAAAAGACGTCATTTATTCTTTCTCTCGTCTTCTTTTTCTCCATTTCTTTCTGTCTTTGATTATTTAACCAATTATAAATTAATTGAAAGTAATACCAAACACATTATTGATTTTATGTTAAACTTTGAAAGAAAAAAAGAAGTAAATCTTTAGTAGAATCATAAATCTATTGAAAAATAAATTCGATTTTTCAATACGAGGGCGCCACAATCAAATATCAATTTTAAGTTTTTTGTTTTTTTTTTTGCATTAATAATAAATTTTATTAGAAAATAATTATGTGATGAAAGTTTTCGTATATGGTTAATATGAAAAATATTTGATTTTTAAATTAATATTAATATGTTAATTTTTCATTGGCAGTCTGTCTTCAATTTGATTATTACTCTATCAGATTTTTTTTTTTGAGACAACAATTATAAACATTAATCTTGAGAATTATTCAGAAGTTTATAGGCGGTGAAAGTTCATTATTCTAGGGCAAACTTCACATTTTTTGTTTATCAGATCGAAACTTTCAAGTTGAAAATAATCAGAAGATCAGGAAAAAAATTTTCTCAATTTGCGTAAAAAGATGTGCATGTGAAAAATCTGTGAAGATTTATGTTCATTCGAATGTGATTTTGAAAAGAAGAGTTTATGATGTGCTTTACTGACAAAAAGTATTAATAGCAAAGGCGAAATGTTCATAAAAAAAGAAAGTACATTATAATTTTGTTTACTATTGAAAATATATTATGAGGCATATAAATCTTAGTCACCGAGAACATAGAAAAATTTTGACAAATTCTAGTTAATCCGACTTAGGCTTTCCGTAGATTTCTTTTTCATTTGTAATAAAGCATCTTTGTTTCGAGTCATTGCTAATGTATGATTCAATATTTATACAAAACTTTATGTTTACTCAGTCTGGGTGAATTAGAATATGCTATGATTAACTGCCGAAGGCAATGAAAACCATTGACATTTGTACAAGAATAGTAATGCACTGCATAATTTTATCAATCTGATGAAAGGAGAAAATAATGTTTGAGCCTATTCTAGGATACAATGCATGAATCTAAGATAATCTTGTGGCTTTAACTGAACTTGAAAAATATAAAATTAATGAAGATCTAGCTCTTAAATGTTACGGTGATATTTCTCTGTTTGCTTTCGTAAATATAATAGACTATTATCAATTTTTAAAATTAGTTAATATCACTGAACCCTTACTATCACTTAATATATTCGAAAGTTTATTATTGAATTTATGACATTATTCAAGTGTATTGTATATGTTCTATGATTGCTCATGGTTGATTATTACGTTAACCTATAACAAACAATTGTCCTTCGGAAAAAAAGTTCATTGTCTTCACTAAGATAGTTTTTGTTTTGATAGTCTTTCTTGTAAATTTAAATGATTGTTTGTAGCGTTTTTGAAACGCACATGCTTAAGACTTTATGCATCAGATGAAGAACGTTGTATTTCAAGTAAATTTCATGAAACTATTTGTCTAGCATGAGTAAGTTTTTTTTATAATATATCTAATGAAAAATAGAAAGTATTTTTTCTAAACACGTAAATATTACACAACTGTCAAAAAATATAAGACCCAACTTATTTCTGACGTTTTTCTACAATATCAAACGTTTAACTCAAATCCAAATAGTGATTTGAGTAGCCATGGTAGTTTTTCAAGTGCCTGAAAACTATGAAAATCAATTTTTAATAGTACTCTATGCAACAATATAAAGTTCTAAATAGAATGAGAGGCTATTGTAGATCCTATGACCTTCCTTTGAAAAACAATGTATCGTAGTATTGCAAAAGAATCGTCAAAAAAACGCATTGTTTTTATTATTTGTCATGCTTATCACTGTTTAAGGAAATGTTATAGAAAATATGGCAACCTCTCATATTACTTAAAAATTTTGTGCTCCTTAAGATGATACTCTTAAAAACTAATTTTCAAGTCTTTAGGGATCTAAAAACTATCATAGTAGGTCTTTTCAGAGATCTATTCAAAGCAGTATTTGGAATTGGATTAGATGGTTGGTACCGTAGAAAGAAAATTAAAAATATGTTGGTCTTCTATTTTTAACCAGTACTGTTTTTATTCTTCAGAATGCAAAAAAACTTTGAGTTAACAATTATATATGGATCTGAATCCTAATGAGAGGTAGATCTAATATAGTTTTTCTCTTGACTATAATGGCATGGTAGACATCAAAATATTTTAGATTAGAATATAATTTATTTCTTTTCATTATGTTTATGCTGATTACTTTTTTTTCTAGGTTTCCCATGCTGAGTATTGACCACAAACATGTGAAACATTATTTTATAATAAAAAATTCGAAATAATGATAAATAAGGAGTTGAATTAGTATCAAAAGTTCAAGCTGGTTATTTCTATCGATAAGAATAATCAGAGACACGCCTTTCTTTTGTGTTTAAATCAATTTTCTTACATCATAACAGAAAAAAGTGACATTGAGATTCTCCTATGTTATAGTTTCCATTTTTGATTGCGTGAACATTATTACTTTTTCTTTCTTTCTTTTGTTTTCTTGCAATAAAAATTTTTGATCATTTGTCTTTGTTACAACTTTGAACAACAGAATTTTATAGGATAAAATGAAAGCATTCACATTCTTTCTTTCATTTTTTTCTCTCTTTGTCACTTTTCAACTCCATTAGCAACATTTTGTTTACAAACTGAAACAGAAAAAAGTTGAGAAGAATAAAACTGTTAATTTATTATTGTATGTCTATAAGAAAATTATTCGAATCAAGTTATGTATCATCCAACAAGTTTTTGTGTTAAACTTCAACTTCATTTTGGTGGTGATGTACATGAAATATCTGTACCTGCATATGATGGTGCTGAACCAACTGTTGCAGATTTAATGAATGTAGTAGAACATAATTTTCGTGTACCACGTGCATTACAAAATCTTATCTTTCAAGGACAAGAATTACATTCACGATCAAATGAACCATTAAGTCATTTTGGTATTAGAAATGGAGTTCCTATTCGATTAGTAGGTCGAATGGTTCCACCGGATAGAGTTGATCAGATCAATGCTCAATACAATACTTATTCATATCAACAATCGAATACAATTCCAACATTTCAAACTAATGAACAAAATTTACCCTATTATCATGAACAATTTAGATACATAGAAAATTCATCAGTTGGTACTCAATATGATCCACCACCACCTTCTTCTGGTAAAAATCAATCGTCGTCAGTGCCAAATCAAGGACAAATATCTGAACATTCAAATGGTAACGAACATAAGCCACTATCTACACCTAATTCATCCAATACAAAATAAACATACAGACATATTTACGTCTTTTTTCTTGACTTTTAGAACATATGAGTTCACATTCAATGTTTTATTTTTCTACAGAAAAAAAAAATCTCACTCTCCATAATGATACACATGTTTAAATCTATATTTCGAAAAAAAAACAAGAGTAAAAAATACACGAAATTGTCGTTAGTACTAGCATATAATGAATGTTATTTTTCAGGAAAATAAGTAGAAACGCCTAACATCGAATGATATTGATAGATACATTCAATGACAATTTGATGAGTACTAACAATCTGTTTATCATGTTTAATTCTATAAAAAGGTACAATCATTATTAAGGTTTTCAAATTTTCTGTGGAACAATATGAGCATCCATTAAATTGGAAAAAAGTCTACAAGCAATTCGTTCTTTTTTTTTTCCTTTAATTTCTTTGTTAAATGGATAATAACGAATACACAGAAATAAATAAAATAAACATAAAATTAAAAGATGATAACGAGAGAGACACGGACATTTTAAAAAATAAAAACATAAGCAATAAGGGATAGTATAACAATGCTTCCAATAGTTAAGCCAATTTTTGTTAATGATGACATACGATTTAAATAATTTGCATCTTTACGATATTGATTAGATATTGATGCAAGATTCGTTGCTTTTCGATTAAGATCTAAATAAAGACAAACAAAGTGAATCGATCCCAGGACGATAATTACAATCATCGAAACCGTACTGTATTACTGTCCGTAGAATTATGAGAGAATACAGTCCTCATACGTATCATACTGGACTGTAAACGATCGTATACGACAAGATTTCGATGAAAATACAGATAATTTCCTTCATCCATCTGTAGAAAAGTGGGAATCTCATGCAATTTACAGTCTTAAATAGCTGTAAACCGATGTTTGGTAAGCACAGTATTACGATTGTAATACAAAGTCATGTAATACGCCATGATCGATAATTTACAATCTTTTACAGATGTGCTACTTCGACTTGAGAACGGTCGTAATCTGCACTTACCAAAAAGCGAAAAAAAAATCATTCAAAAACTGTCATTTACGATCATGCTTATTTGACGTGAGATAAAAAATCAAAAATTCTTATTATTACCTTGTAATGTTTCACCACGTGACATAACATCTTGAATATTTGTAACCATAATATTTTGTACATCACGTAAATCAGTTCTTAAACGACCCATTGCTTCACGAGATGTTCGACTATCAGCATATTGTTTTTTCATTTTTTGAATATAATTATCTAAGAGAAAAGAAATATTCCATTTGAAAAGAAAATTTTTATAACAAACCAAATTCAATAAATGAATATGGTCGAGCAGCTATTTGAATTTTTTGTCCATATTGTGCAATAAATTCTTGTGCAAGATCTTCAAGATATGCATATGCATTTTTACGTGGGAACGTTTTTTCACATAACGTTATATAACAAACATCATGATCAATTAAACAACTAAAATTTGAAAAAAAAAAACATAAAAGAATTTCAATTATAAATATATGTATATATTTATTTACTGAAAAACATATGGATCGCTTTCAATGCTTGCTTTTGATGGAGAACTTGAAGTTAGACGACGAAGTATATTTTTTGCTTGATTTTGATATTCCGTACTACTACGGCCCGACTAATCATTGTAAATCAAAGAGAAAATTAACAAAAGTAAATAAATAACAATTATCTCACTTCATCACGCATATCATTATGAACAGATGCAGCAAGAGGTAGACCATCGGCGACACGGCCGATCATTGTCATTAGAACCATTTTTAAGTAAATTAAGTATTTGATTTACTACGTGGTCTGTCTATTGCTTGTCCACGTTGTATGTGTCTGTGTGACGTGAAACTTTTTGTCTTCGGACAAAATATAACCAATAAATAAACTTCATAAACAGATGTCACTGATATCTTTCGACTAGAAAAGAGAACATTAACGTTGCACATAGGAATAGTGTTTAATAAATAATAACTGCAAATTACTATTTATTTGCTCAACCGCAAGAGAAGAATAATTATTTGTTTATATTACTCAATTGTTGATAATGAGTGACTGATTGTAAGTATATTACATTAAATCATTTATTTTATTTCTAACTTACTCATTTGTTGGATCGTTAGACATGAATTTTACTTGTTTCTTCAAGGAAGATTTAAGCATCTCTAGCTACTAATATGAACAAGCATTTTGTAAGATTCATTCAAGTATAAATTAAAATACAACATTTCTTCAGTTCAACGATACTGTTTATCTACAGAGATGTCGAGTGACATGTTTTATGCACAAAGCAACATGAGTGTTGTTAACCATAACTTTGTGTTGGTGAGCACAGTAAATTTTGGTATCTCATAAACGAAGGATTGAAAAACCAAAACTATTTTAGAATTTTCTATTACGTACTAGCACTCATTAAATAAACATCATCTTGATATAAAAGCGACTTGATATCGGGAGAGGTTTTTTTTCATAAGTTATCTAACTTTGATTATTAGCTGTCTAAATATAATAGCTTCTAATTATGAAAATTTTAATTTTATTTTTTCACAGCAAACTTAGAACTAATTTTTGCATTCATATAAAAAAAAAAGAAATATATAGTCCTTCTCATAAAAATCCAATCGAATGTTATTTGAATAAGAACTTGTCTTAACATAGTCAAGTGAATGATAAAAATGCCATATAAAATTGTATGTTCATTTATTGAATAATGACACCTCTTTAAAAAAAAGAATAGAAGTTAATTAACAATCGAGACAAGCACATTCAGATATATATATAGTTTTTGTTTGTATTCATATGAAACTAGAGAAGAAAAGAAAAGAATCTGATAAACAAGATCGTTTGTACAGAAGATTAAAATACACAACCACGTTTTCGAATTGCTAAATGTCCATCGTGTAAAAGTGAAAGACTAACACGATGTTTTATATTTGTACCTGATCGACGTATAAGTAAATCATTTCGACCAACTGTTAAAACAAGTGCAGGAACTATTTCAAGATCATCAAAAACTAAAAGTATTGGTGAATTACGAGAAAACCATGCTCGTTGATACCATAAACGACCTTCTTCAATACGAACATCAATAGGAGATTTCATTGATAAGTCATCATTTTGGCTTTCAGATGATTTTTTTTCCAGAATCGGTTCAATATTTTGCAAACCACGACGAATATCTTTTAAATCTTGTTCCATATCTGAATTTGATAAAGATCTTTGTAATTCAATGCCACCAAATGGTGGTAATAATGAATTTGTTCCACTAAATATAGATAAATCTTTTAATGATGCTGTGGTTGATGTTGTAGAATTTTCTGAAATAATATCATTAGCAGCTGCACGTCTTAAATTATAAGTTGGTCGTTGTTGTTGTTGAGTAGATTCATTTGAATGATGATTATGTCCATCATATGAATTTGTATCATTTATATGATTATTTATTCCATTGAGTAAATATTGATCATTATCAGAATTACGACGATGACGAATATTTACATTTTGATGTTCATATTCTAAATGACGACGTTTATCATTAAAAGTTGATAATAATTTTAACTTAAAATCGATTTTTTTCATTTGAAATACTTCATCGGATTGACGTAATTCATGTACATACATTTTTTCAATGGTATCGGATCGATAATAACGCCAAAGATTTAAATTATTAACCTATCAAATAAAAGAAAATGAAACAAAATTTGAAATATTTCCATTCTGTTACATTCTATGGGACTGAATTGTTTTCCGTGATGAACAAAACTTCAGAGTCATGTGCAAAGATAACCAATGTGCAAACGAAAGTACCTCTGGTTGTTACTTCATTGTACTTAAGAAAAGATAGATATCTATATCGGTGATGACGAGGGAAAAACAAACCACATATCATAAAATGAAATACATAATCGAGTATATTACTCGAAGGGCGAATGTATGTAGACATGGATTTATTAGGATCATCTTCAACACTCTAAAGGATAGAAATGCATTATTAAAGCCCTTGATGATACTTCAATGGCAATATTTATAAATGTGGTTTTTATGGGAAAAAAAGCTGATGTGTGTCCTCTATCACGGAAAAAATATCTAGTCTCATACAATCGGTTAGAGTGGAGATATTCAAACTTTTTATTTTAAAACCACTTATGAACTATTCTATATATGGAGTCTTGCGACTTGTATTTGTTTTTGCTTTAGAAAAAATGGTTGTAAAATAAGGTCTTTACGCTTAACATGTTGCAGATTTTTGTTATAGAAAAAAATTTAGAATAGCTGATCTTTAGCTATAGAATACAGGTTGATTTGAGGATTCATCTCATTTAGAATATGTTAAGAATGACTTAGTGTAAACTCAAAATTTTCAGATATCTTGTTATGAAAGATAAAGTAAAAGACATGGCTAAGAATTTTTTTTTGCAGATTATACACACTTCAGTGATGATATTTTTTAAAATTTTCCTTATTATTTATTTTATACCAAATTGATATCATTAAAAAATTTTAAAAAAAAAGAACTATTTATTTTATTGAAAAAATCTTTCATACTTGTTTATCGTATAATCTCAATAATTGATCTAAACGTTTTTTATATTGCACATGATAATTATCATCTTGATCAATTTGTTGTTCATGATTTATGATTTCTTTTTTTGTTAAATTATGTAATTCTTCTCGTAAATGGTTTAAACGTTTTTCAATTATTTTTAATGATGTTTTTCGATTTGCTAATTTATTTGCTGTTGAACGTGAAGATTGTCGTATTGATTCAATCGAACACATGATAAAAAAAAATGTTCTTTTTCTTTTTCAAAAATGAAGCTGAACAACAAATATAATCATCTAGAAATATGTGAAAATATGTCTATTACATCTTTGAACAAAATATAATTTTTTACAAATACATATATATATATATACATAAACTATTTTCTACTATTTGAAATCATTTTTATATCATCTTCACATTCTTCATCTTTAATAGTCCATTTCGGTAATTGAAAAATACTAAATGCACCTACAAAACGTTTACGTGTCGGTTGTTGTTGTAACATTGATGGTAGAATGCCATTTGTAGAAAAAAATTCTTCTTCATTTATCATTGATGTTTGTTGTCCAATATCGGGTCGTTGTCGAAAATTATATGCTTTAGTTTGTAATGGATGTGAAGTTTGCATTGTAATAAATAATGAATCAACATTAAATGTAGGTGAATGTATATCAATATCTGAACGTATTTCATCAATAACTAATTTACGTTTACGTCGAAGACGATCAAGTAAATGTTCTTTTAATTCTGCTTTTTTAGCAGCAAAATATGCACGTGTACAACTTGTTTCGAAATCATAACGACGATCAATACGTTCTTGTTCGGTTTTATAACGAGATTTTAAATATAAATAATTATTTTGGTAAGAATCCAAAACAGACTTTAAATGTTTTGAATCACTTATTGAAGTATTGTCATTTTGTTGTTCAAGTAGAGCTAATTGAGAATATAAATTTACCAAACGTGAACTAATTATTGATTGGTCAAATGAGTTTTGCATTCTATTGATATCTGACTGTGAAATGGAATCAATTAATATTGATGTTGTCATTCCATTATTTGAGTAGATCAACAGACAAAAAAAAAAGATGATGTTTGTTTTAACGGATAATGAAAACGATCCAATCGAAGAGTTCATATTAGAATAGGTACGTGCGACATCTATACTTCGTAAAATCTGATCTTGTTTTATGAGATCTCATAATCTCACTTCAAACATCAATATTGGACGTCGAGACAAACTTTTTCTTCGAGTGTTTGACATTTCAACTGAAAAAATCCTTTTCTTCTTACGATGACAGAATGCTTCTTGCTATTAATAATAGAGGAGTATCAATGTTTTTAATGAGAATCTGAAATAGAATGTATGCGTACACTGTGTTTTTTAGAACGCCATGTATCTGTACACTGGGTTTTTTGTGGCAAAGTGTACAAAATGTACAAGAAATGCGAAACTTTTTTCTGTCCATAAAAGACATTTTTTATTTAAAAATATTTTTTTTCATTTTAATGAAGACAAGATGATTTGAAAAAACAAAAACAAAAATAAAACGTTTTCAAATCACAAAAACGACTTTGCCTGAATGAAAAATATCAACTGATATTTTTATGAAACTCTATTTATCCACACTTGTAGATACATAAATCTTCAAAAAAATAAAACAAAAAAGTCAACACTATATGAAACATAAATAGATAGAGCTCAAATACGAATTTTCAACTATACAATAACTTTTTATGTACAACACTTAAAAATGAAAGTTAAACGAAGTTTACTTCAATTTGAGACATTTTGGTCATTTATACTGAGACATTCCACTATTCATTCACAACATCATCAGTTAAGAAAATTAATAGATAAAAAAAAACAAATAAAAAATTTAAAATGAGAATTACAACAGTGCAATTGTTCTCTTGTAATTTTTATTTTAAATTTTTTATTGGATTTTTTATTTAATTTTTTTAACTGATGATGTTGTGAATGAACAACGGCACGTTTCAATACAAATCATTACAACGTGTTAATTATTGTCTTATTTCAAATTAAACCGAGTCTACGTATAAAATTTTCATGATGTTCAATATATAAATTATATTTTTGTACATACAGCAGAAGCATGGAGATAATAGAAAAATCAAAGTGTAAAATAAAAATTCAGTGTGTACAGCGTACATGCTACTTTTTTCATCAGCGTGTAAAACAGTGTGTAAATATATTTTTATTAGGGTACCGTACCCTTTGTTTTGCTGGGTACACTCATTCATTAAAAACACTGGAGGAGTATAGTTGAAGGTGTGAATATGTGTATGTGTAAGTGAAGACAAGAGTCGCGTCTATATCAAGATCTTCACCTTCAGATCAATCTTATTCTTTTTTTTCTATTTGCACAATTGGACGCTAGCTAATGTTTTATTTTAAATATATATTCTTCATAATAAAATGAATTTCAGTTGTTATCATGGACATTCAATTTATGTCGTTACAACGGTATTTTTTAGCTTGTATTATTCATTGCATAATAATCTGTAGAAATTTCAATTTTTCAGAAATTGGATTTACCATGAGTTCTTCCTTTGGTCTGTCTGTTATAGACTTTGCTATTTAAGCTGTGTAACATTATCGAAGTGGTTTTAACAAAAAATTGTTCATACATTTGGTCTACATTCACCTGTAGAACTTCGTAAATTGTTCACACATGTTGATAACTATTGTGAATAATATGAATCAAGACAACGATCATCAGTAAATAGGTCTCGAAGAAAAAAACTGCTTATAATTGACGATGTTCAGTTATTTGTTGAACAACATTATCAATTACAGATTTTATTTTCAAAGAGTCAACCGTGAACAGGACAATAAGTAAAAATGTTTTAATAAGGATATTCGTTTTTTGAAAATTATAAAAAATGATATTTTTGAAAGAAACTTTTTTTTTGTTTTATAATCAAATCTATACAGAGCAACGACCACATATACTTTAATATTCAGCTGTTTATTTAATGTAAAAGATTGAACTTGTAAAGAATACATCGAGCAATGAAAGAAAACCTATATGCGACTCGAAATATTTTATCGGTATGAGTTGAAAAAATATATAATTATCAGTATCAAGCTAATTATATATCAAAATCTAGGTCATGTTCAAGGATATTTTCGATTATCGAACTGCATTATCGTCTGACATTCAATAGACTGATAGTTACTTTTGAAGATGCTAATGTATTACTGAGGAAAAAAAAATAGATTACTATTATTTAATTATGGTCTTGTTTTTCTAATATCTCAAGATGATTTCAACATAAAGAGTTGTGATTTTTCCCTAAATCTAACTCTAGTTTCATAGGTTGTCTGCTCAAAATATCCACACATTATGTTACATTTTTCTGATATTAAACTAGAAATACTACGAATGATCAGCTTGTATATCGCTCAAACCAAACTGAATATTGCACTTCACATTTCATCCTTGTTAACGGAAAGACACATTTTAAAAATATTTTAACGACGTTTCATTCGCTTTTTAATGAAAACATTGTAAACAATCATTCTTAATGTTTCTACTTTATCAAAGTAAATATACGACGTAGTGAGTTGATCTATTGAATAGAGAAACTGTGAAAACAAGACTACATTGTGACAAAAACTACAATTCTTTATGTTGAAACTATTTTGAGATATTAGAAAAACAAGGCGATCGTTTAGATGTGTAATCAATTTTAAGGGTCATTTTAATAAAAAGGAAAGTTTTCTACATTCATGCTATCATCAGATTTCTTTCCGTGATTCGAGACATAATACTCTTTTAATTAATTTAATTATATTTTTCTACAATTGATGATTAAACAAGTTTATCTCACCTCTTCATGTTTAAATAGACATATATGTATCTTAACTCTTTTTAATCGACCGTTTTGTATTATTGCAGAACATATGTTTCAACGTGTTATATGTTCAAATAGAACATATACCGTTGATAGTTGTGAAAAATGTCGATCAACAAAATACTGTGTTGATTGTTTTCCTATTGAAAATGATTTGTAACCATCACGTATGTGTTATTTGTCATTATCATAGAAGTTCTCTGTAGCATACTATATCACCATTAAAATGTCATCAGTATTTACCAACGATATCTGTTCAACCATTATGGGATGAAGCCACATATTTGTTAATATATCATATTCAAACACAAAAATGTATTAGTAAAGAATTAAATCATAAAATCCGAATTGTTTTAACAATGGCATTTTAATTATCAATCAGTATGATGATTCAACCATGCGTTCGTATAAGTATTAGTTAAATTAATATTTTTTCTAATATATCATTTGTTTTTATGTGTTCATTGCCATTTACTGGTAATCGATGCCAAGTACAGGGAATGGAAGGGCACATAATATCAAATCAGTCCATTAGTATGTTTCATGGCAAATTTCATTGAATTTTATAGGGTGTGGGTGTGGATGCTATAGGCAGTTCAATGGCAATACACACATTCCTACGTACATCTACATCCACCCTCGCATCTTGTTTTTATGAGAACAAGGACGGCATAGAGTTGAAAACGTACACTCTGTCCATAAGTATACATATTCATATAAATCTGCATCTTTGTACGTCGAATGATAGTTGAAGTGGCAAGTCTACGAGATTCCTTGTAACGAAAGTCTTCATTTGAGAATTTCCCAAAAAAAGACATCATAAAAATCGAGGTTGCATTAGTTTTCAAAACGGCTTGGATCAAAGTCATAAAATGGTTTCCTTTACAACATGTATTAATTCGAGCACCATTTGAGAATCTTTATCGAGAATATGTATTTGACTTCGATCCTGGCTTACGTGATTTGGTTCTGAAAGTTTATTTATATTTTTCTCTTCAAAAATACCTAGATGCAGTACATTTTGAATGTCCTCATATTGATTGTTGTTCTCACACCTGTTCATCATGTTTGCATGTACCTTTGGTTATTGGTTAATCATTTGAGAAAAAAGGTGGTCGTAATAATAATACAGAGATGATTATTTAGATATAAATAATCAGACTTCATAAAAACTAAGTATTATGGAGGTGATAGTCAGATACTCACATTCGAGTACTAGTGGTTCTGATGATTAGGTCAACGTCTTCTTACGTTCTCATTAGAATGCGTGTTATTTTTCTCGCGTGTATACTTTATCATAAACTGTTGATGAGTATTGCTCACAAGTGATCATTGTAATTACGAACACTAAAGAATACCGACTGATATAACTGCCAACAAATCATCAGAGTAATAAATACATCATTGATTAATATGATTCATGTCAATCCTGCATGAAGGGTGTTGTGGATGATCATTCTTCTAATTGATTAATTATTCACCCATGAGCGCAATTCATATGACAGTTTTTAAAATCAATATATGAAAGGAGTGATTGACTTCTATCATATTATTCTATTCAATTGAGAAGCTTCTCTTCAAAATACATTGCTGCGTAAATACACTAATCGACATTTTGTTTAGATGATGTAAAATATGGCTACTTCTCATTTGCAAAATGCACAAAAATTAAGTTTCAGTAAAATGAACCACAGCTTTGGATTTACAGTTGGTTTTAAGTTAAAAATTTTATTAGTTTTAAATAAAATGATTGACTTTGATAGTTAATTTCTAAAGATTTGATCAATGAGAGTGCCTATAGAAAAAAAAACGATTTGAAACATTGTAACGAAGTTATTTTATTTTCAGAAAAGTTACTGTAGTTTGTAGAAGATGTAAGCTTCTGATCAGAGGCAGGTTTTGAGCTAGGTAGAGCCTCTACTTATGTGTAGAGGATATAAATCTTTTGTTGAAGGAAGATTTTCCTTATAAGAAAAATCATTACAACTTATTGACGACGTAAGCTTTTGTACAATACAGATTTTTTATGTTAAAAGATATGGTGAAATAAATAGATAGAGTCAACTTTCAATCAAAAACAGGGTGAGTGTGAGTGTTTAGCCCATGTCTTGACCCACACCCGCACACACTCACAAACATGCCATTTCATGTAAATTTATTTTACTTTTCAAACTGTCCTTCGACTGACCCAAGTTTCTTCTGTAATCCAACAACCAATTCATGATTACATGGTAAAGATTTTAATGCAATATCCAACGGTTTTCGCCACTTCCGACGCTTTTGCTTTGTTTCCGTGACAACTTCAAAGATTGCCAATATTCCTTACTATTTCAGGATCATTTTCAAGCAACGACCTTTACTGAATTTCAAGAGTTTTCACATAATTATTCATAGCTGCAACATAAGTCCCTTGACGCTTGTAAACAAAACCGATCTTGTTGTATGTCCTAGCAATGCTTTGATGATCTTCAGGTAAAGACTTTAATTGAATATTAAGCAATTTTTCACAATAACTCAACGCCTCAGAATAGTTGTCTTGACTCCGAGGAGAAAAGCCAGTCTTTTTGTATGTTCTTGTCACATCTGGAAGATTTTGAAGCAGGAACTCTAACTTCATGTTGAGTGCTTTCTCATAATAGATCAAGGCTTCCGAATAGTTGCCTTGACTTTGGTGAACTAATGCAATACTACCGTATGTCATCGCAATGTTCTGATGATTTTCAGGCAAGCATTTTAATTGAACCTTAAGTGCTTTCTCATGACAACTCAAGTCTTCATTATAGTTAGCTAGACTTTGGTGAACAATTCCGATATTGCTGTATGCCATTGCAATATCTGGATGATTTTCCGACAAAGTTTTTAATCGAATGTTAAGTGCTTCTTCCAAATACTTCAAGGCTTCAACATAGTTGCTTTTTTTTTGATGAACTGTTGCAATGTTGCTGTATATCGTTGCGATGTCTGGATGATTCTCAGGTAAAGATTTCAATTTAATCCCACGTGCTTTCTCACAATAGTTCAAAGCTTCACTATAGTTAGCTAGACATTGGTGAACACATCCGGGTGTGGGTGTGGGTGTGACATTAGTTCCGCAAAAATTACGCGAAAGAGTAGTTGCACACATTTTTCGACTTCCCTATGGTTAGAATCCGAACAGTATAAAACGAAGCGTTTTTTTGTGTTTAAAATATACGAAATTCTGTGCGACTAGTTTTCGACTCTACACAAAAAAATCATTTTTTTGCTACACGATGAATTTCTTTTCCTATATCATCAGTTAATGGATTGTGGTTTTTAACTTTATACAATTGTATATTATTGAAAATGGAACACGTATCGATTGATCTAAATTCGACCATCGATGATGGCCTACGATATAACTCATTAACTAAAACACTAAGAAAAGGAATTGATCATGCATCAAAAAGTTAATTTTTTCGAAAGTGCCAAAAACTAGTGGCTTAGAGTTTTTTTCATTTTGAAAATAAGTTGCAATTATAAATTTTTTTCTCCGAGGGAGATCATGTAAAGTTTCAAGTCGAAATTCGAAAATCAATGTTCCGGGTGTTCATGAGGGAGAGATCACGACATTCTGCTAAAAATATACCGTAAAAGAGTAATATCTCTGTAGCAAGGACCTAGGAGCATCTAGTCTTCACTCCAAAGTGATTTATTAGTTACGGGACTTCTCGCATCAGAAACAGTTTATCCCTTCTTAGAATTATCTCTATAAGAAACTTGTTTTATTTTGCTTTATTTATTTTAATTGAGAAAGAGCATTGCCAATCCAACGTTGAGCATTGTCTAAAATCTGTTTTTGACCAATTAAATAGATTAATGAATATCGTTCATCATCATTTAATTCATTTGATTGAAATCGATTGAGATTTTCTTCTAATGTTGTTGTATATGATACATCTTTAAGTTCATTAAGAGATACTGAAAGCTTATTTAATACTCGTCGTTCATTATCGACACTAACCATTGATAAAAGAAGTTCATTTAAATTTGATATATTAAATTGTTCCAATTCTTCATTTGACATAACAATTAAACGAAGAGTGCCTAATAAATTTTCACTGATAATCGGTTCATTTTCGATTATTTTAAGTTCGTGTTCTACACACAAATCTTCATCTATTAAAAAAAAAAGCAATAGTTAAAAGAAATCGTTGAAGTAATAAAACGAACTTTAACATACTTAGATTAAGTAAAAGCATTTTTTTCATTTCCATTTCATAAGTATCATTTGAGTCCATCTTTAATTCAAGTAAAACCGAATCACATGGATTATTCTCAATTGCAAATCCATAATAAAGTAATAATTGCCAATTAGCTAATTCATTATTGTATTTTAAGCATAATTCTTCTCCATCTAAGATTTTCTTATCTGTTGCTTTTAAAACAAATCTATCAGTTTCTTTATTAATACCCATTGAATATAGATTTGCTTCATGTGCAAAGGATACATGATTTGCAAGGTCAGCTAATGGAATAAGTGTAGTACCAAGTTCAGTTAAATTAAAAGCTCGACTAGTAATAGCTGTATAGGCCCAAAGAAAATCTTCTAATTGAAATGTACTTGAATCAATAAGATCCCATACTTCACTCATTGATTGACGCATAGTTTCTGTTAAATAAAAGACCGAAGTATTTTCAACATAATTTTCTTTGTGAAATAATGGAGTTGTAAATGTATTAGGTAAAAGTTGAATATATGAATACCAATGAGATTGAACACCTTTTGAACGTTCATGCAGAAGAAAAAGTGATAGAATCAGTGTTTCTCGATCAATATGTTGATCAGTTTGATCAAGTATGTCAAATGTTGGTAAAACAAATGTTGAACTATCTTTTGCTGATTGATTTGACATTAATAATGTTGTAGGAATTTGAATATTAGGAAGTTCTTGTGATGATGTACTGTATACGGAAAATCCTTTATAAAGTATTGATGGGCGAATATCGACATTGTCCCATATAACATTATGTTCGTTGAGCCAATTTTTAAATAATTTTAACCGTTCTTCATCCTAAAATCATGAGAACTGTGATGAGAATAATAAATAATAGCATTTTCTTTGGGCATCGTTCTAATATCATTATAATATCATGAACGAATTCGAATTTAGAATACTGCTACTTGAGAACATTCCCAACAAAAAAATAAACAAGCTGTTGTTGATATACGGTTTTTGTTCTCACATCAACAGCGTCTGTTATAATCGATATATGAGGGGGAGGTGTAAAAATTTCTATTCTATACATTTTAACAATCATTTTGGATCATGTTCTACATAACTATAATTCATACTATGCTCAAAGCTTATCCTAATTTAAGTGACATCGCTTTTACATGATTTTTCGGTTCCTGAATTGAAGTTATTTGTTAATATGATAGATCGAATTAGTCAAAAAGTTCTTTGGAGAACTATTTACTGATCTTGTTTATCACTTTTATGCATGAAATAATGTTTCATTTTGTTCCTTTTATATATTAATGGTGTGGGAGCAAAGACTTATATCTTGTAGAAACGTTTTCAATATCATGTCGTTTATTTCTGAAAAAAAATCATTTATTCCTTGTAGAACTTCAAGTACATTAAGGAAAACTGCATACAGTGTGAAGTTTGGAACGTTGCTTTTCGATATGAACTTCATTATCAGCATTGGATTCTACATGACGCTTCATTCTAAAAGAGAAACAGAGATATAAATAATGGATAACATTAGATGAAAAAAGCATCGTTTCAACGATGATATAACATAAATAGTAGGAAATTTCTTTAAAATTCTATTTGTTGCGATATCAAGAACTGTTGCGATACCGACTTTCATAAGCCTACGAACTATTGCAATACTTTCATCAAGAGAAAGTTGATTTAAACTTTATACTAAACTCTTAAATAGTACTTGTAGATGTAAACACATTGGGTCCTGACCAAGAAAACGTTGATGATTGGAGTTTAGTTTGACACATTCAGTCAACATTAGCTAACGATACTGAATATATACTGTATTTCGTGGCATTATTGATCATTATCTTCTATACAATAGATTTAATTGATCAAGCTAATCATGACTATCTGATTCGAGTCTGAGTCTATAGTCTTATTGATCGACATACGATCTGGACATTGTCTCGGCTTTTTGATTATTCTTCTAGTTTATAAAATAATCCATATATGCAGTACATACAGTTCTCTAAACATATCTCGATTGCTAATAGAATGGTTAGACCAAATAGAAAAAAACGCTACACTAAGTTATCAAAAGTATATCGCTCATGTATAGTATTTATTTGATGAACGTTTTTTGGCTTTAATATCAAAATCTATCATATAAAACATATCGTGTAAGATTACTACGAAGAAATGTTTAGCAACATCATCTATCAGTGTACATTCTTTGCTTGAATGTTAATATATTAGTTTGCATTTGTACAACTTGATTGCTTGGCCATTCTTATTAGTTACTATTTTAATATTCATATTATAGAAAATTAGTGATAAAGCTGTTGATACTGGCATCGAAAATCCTGATCAATTATTACTTCTACGCAATACGATCGCGAGGAAAAAAAGGAGATTTTTTATAGATTAACACATCTTACTTTGCTTTTTTCCGTTTATTCCAACATGAAATCTCTATAAAAAAAATTAATTTAGAAATTCTCAAAAAAACCTTGTTTAATAATTTGTATATTATACATATATTTCTGTTATTACATTAATAAAAAACAAATACACATTTCTATCTCATTAAAACAATTTATAAGTTGCACAATTATACTTTTTATTCTTTTATAAATAGATATTCAATAATAGAAATATATCACCTAACGATGTTTAACAATTTGACGAGAATAAATAAAATACAATTACAATCAAGAAAATTACCAATAAATAATATACAGAAAAAAAACAAACAATCGACCAAAAGATTATATATTTCACTAATAGAAAAAGATATATTTTCATATATTAAATCACAGAGTTTGAAACATTAATTCATAATTATGAGAACGTTTCAGTTTGTTGTAAAACGCCTTTAATCATTTGAATTTGAGCCTAAATAATTGAAAAATAATAATAAAACTAAATATTTATGAATTTTTAATTTACTTTAGCATGTTTAATTTGAAGTTCAGTTAATTCAATTAAATTTTTACGAAACATTTGTACTCGACGTGTTTTAAAATCATTTAATTCTAGAAAAATATTATAAAAAAATCCAATTTTAAATTAAAAACAAGAAAAAAAATATTCTTTTACCATCTTTAGCTTTTTCTGAAATTGTTTCAAATTTTTGCTTGATACTTTGTTGTGCTGTTTCAGCTTGTTGAACTTCTTTATTTTTGGCTCTTGCACGATCTAAATTTTTATTTGCCGTTTCAAAATCTGCTAAGCAACGTGAACGACGATACATTAAATCAAGTGCTGCTTTGGAGTCACGCAAATAATATCTTAATGTATCCGATAATTTAAGATCAAGGTCTGATTGAACACGTGATTCTAATTTCTAAAAGTAAAACAAAAAAGAAATTTATAGAACTAATAACAAAAATCATCTTACTCGAGCTTTTTCAAACAAGTCAGCTACCAAAAGAAGATATCTAAAAATAAGAGAAATAATAATTTTTCTTTTCAAAAAAAATGTTTTTCATTCTATTTTTGTTACCTTGATAAATCAGTTTTATCCGATGTTGCTAAAGTATTAAAACCACTTGATAATTTAATATATGTATCAGCAACAGCTAAATAAATTTCATTGAAATCAATTGTTATCAAATGAGGGGATTTCGCTACGTTATAAATCACTGTTTGAGATTAATCTTATTACATTATGTAGATCCTATGGAGACTCGACAAAGACTTAATAAGACTCATAGCTATCGATCTATCTTTTTGAGTTATGGCCATTTTAAATGAATTGTGTAACAGCATATCATAAGTTTTTTCCGATCATTTTTAAAATCGACATTTTAAAGTAATACAAATAAAGTTCTCGATAAAGTCAATTCTTTGTGGAAGTATGAGACTTTCTAGTAGTTTCTATCTTGTTTATTTTATGTTCTATTTTATTATAATGTTTGTAAGTGTTTACAGTGATCATGATGATTAATTGAAAGATAGGAACGAAAGAAAACCAAGAGCTAGAATAGAAGAGCAATAAATCCATAGTCGTGGACTTTGGTCTTGGGCAAAAATGATATGAATAGTTTGCGTTTCGATAACGCCTATCAAATTGCAAACTATTTATGTAGATTTGGTCTAAAAGTAAATCCATGCTTCAAATACAAATAACAACTAGATCTCAAAGCCCATGGTCCAAAATCTATCATAGTTTCTTTATACACCTAGGCTAGGATGAAGGAACACAAGTATGTATATCCATGCTACACTAGAGGACGTGAACAAAAGAAAACATCTCCTCAACACTTCTTTTAGACAGTTTATTAGTCTAGGTAAGTATTGCCTATTCTCAAATAAACACTTAAGCCTGAAACTCATTTTTATACATTTGAGATTTTTTTATGCATGAATCTCAGGGTATGATAAGCCAGAGAGTCTAATATTTTCACAACGAACTAATCTTATTGAGCATTCTATTTGTTGTACAAAGTTTTCAGTCAAACTCGATATTCAGTTTTAAAAATCATATGAATGAATCACAGAATTTCATTGGAAAATTCACTCGAATGGTTACAAAATAAGATGAATCTTTTTAGATTTGATCGATTGTTTATAAGATTTACACCTACTGAAATACGACCCATCTCAAATGTGGTTTATCACTTATCGAAGTTCTCTCGTCAGAAAACATCTTTATTACTTTTATGTGCTCGAGTTGATTTATCTGCAGCATTAGTAGCATCTTTTATTTTTGTGTTATAAGTTAAAAGAAATTGTTTTTGTCGTTCAAAAAATTCATCATTTTCCTAAAAGAAAAAAAAATTGTTTGTTTTGTATTAGCAGCAGAACAAAAAAAAAGAACTCATTTAATATTTACCTTTTGATTAGCTAACAATACTTCATCAGCTGTTTTTGTTAATGTTTTGAAGAAGCCACTAATTTGTTCTTTAGCATTTTTTCCACGAACACTTAACTAGAAAAATGAAAATTTCTATACAATCAATTTTTATTTCTAAATGTATTTTACATCTTCTTTATATTCAAGAAAGACACGAAAATTATTATCACTACGTAAAATTGGATGTGCAGCAAGACGTTGAAGAAATACTTCGTGCATTGAAACAGTCTTTTTAAACATAGCTAAATATTCACTAGATTACCAAAAACAAAAACAAAAAAAGAATATATGTATATTGACATAAACAATAGTTATTATTTTAAACGTACGCTTCAAGCTCTTGTTTCATTTTATCATATTCTTCCTTTGTAAGAATACTTTCGCTATCACTTAACTTTTGTAATTTAGCACGAGATGAATCAAAATCAGGTCGTGGTGGAGCTGGTGGAATCTAAATATTAATAACAAAACATGATATAATAAATCAAATCAACCAATATAAAAAAAGCCACTATCAATGGTTATTATATTCATTTTTGTGCCCATCGTATAGTTTGAATTAGTATTTATCTACTCTGTACATCTTTGGATGTGAAAATTATCTTTAAACGTTAGAAAATTCGAGAAGAAATCAACTTAATGAAAACTATACATTATTCTGCTTTTTTCATACAAAGAAAGTACACAAATGCCATTCGCTATAATGGATTTCATTTAATATTCTAATTATGTATTGACATCACTCGTGAACAATAAGATTATTTCAATGAAACAAAAAAAAATTAATTAAGATGCTTATTTTAGAAATATGCATCAATATTGAAACTTGTAATATCAACAGTAAGTGTCACTACAATTTCAACTGATGCTTGAGAATGATATACTTTAATAAAAAAAAAGAATCGCGTTAAAGACAATTCTAACCATTCTATCTATGGTACGAAAGTCTTAGCACTGCAACTTCTTTCCGAGATAAGATTAAACAACTATCATCAAATTTTTTCAAAACAGTGGTTGTACAGAATACCATTTTATATTTTGATTGAAATCTATATAATTCAAAATGCGAAAAAATTTTTAATAGCTCAGTTTTGTAGTATATAACATGATACTTACTGATATTAAAACTTTTGTATTTTTCATATCTATTTTTTGACCTAGTGATAACTGATTTTCATAGCAACTAGCTCTTTAGTAGAAACTCATATATTTCCCTTATTGTAATATCTCATCTTGTACAGAAATCAATACTCTACAACAATATTGAGTTGAAACTGTTTCAAGTCACAAACTAAGGACTGCAGCAAAGCCATTATCTATTTATTCAGTGATGTACTTATCGACTTCTAGTATAGTATTCAATAGAAGGTGATGTGTCATAGAATCCATCTTGTTTAATACTTACAATTAAACCTGCATATTCTTCATTTTCATTAAAACGATCATGTAACCAAATAAATTCTTCATGTTGACGTGAAACATTAAATTCTGATTCTTGAAACGCTGGTAACTTAGTCTATTGATAATTAATTATAAATTTTAAATTACAAAAAAAAATGATTTCTTACTTTTGTATGAACAGTAAATTTAACCTTTTCTTTTTCACTTAATGCATCCGAAATATCAATTTGAAGATCACTATCACTAAGATCAACTGTATCAGCACGTTGCTAGTTTAAAACAGAAACAAATTTAAATAAAAAAAAATATATATAAAAATAAATAATTTACCTTATTGCTAGCTGCTTCGATACCACTGGCTGCTTCCTACAACATAAATACTTGAGCTATTTCCAATTTATTTCAAATACTCACAAGCATCGATGTAATTTTTTTTTTTTGAAGATTAGATAATTAATTTATATCTAAAAGAATAGAATCGATTCATTGGGATGATTCGATATTTACTCAAGTTCGTTCGTATATTTATAAACAAAAAAAAAAACACTTGTTTTCATTCTAATGAATCCAATTCTTTTTTCTATTCTCATATAATCAAAACAGCATATTGTGATGAAAACTAATCTAAAATAGAATTTTAAAAAATTCTAATTACAAATTTCAACATAAATTCTTACTTTCCAAACGAGTTGATTTCATTTTGTGCTTCTGTTAGTCACTCCTTTATAGTAATGCATCAGTATACACAACGGCTTAAAAAAACAACACTTACTGATAACACACTCGGTTTTATCTTTTTTTTTTTATGTTAAATAGTAACAGAACGAAGGTTTGTTTTAACAAGAGAAACAAAAGGAGAAGACTAACTCGAAAAAAAAATGAAAATAATTTTCTATGGATACTGTCGTTGATCACGTTCTTCATCTGGAATATGATTCATATTCCAACGACGTTGATATGGTTCATAGATTTTCCATTGTGGATCAACAAGATGAAGATGTTTTTTATATTTATAATCACACATTTTATCAAGTATTTTACATCGACGATTAGCTGCCATAACATGCATATCTTCACGTTGATTTTGTTCATCAGGTTTTTTATATGTAAATAAACGTCGTTGTTTTTGTGGATGAATATAACCACCCCAAGCAAGACGAAAAAAACGTTCTTGAACATGTGGTGAACCTTGATGTTCGCCAATATCGTTTGCATTGAGTTGTGGAATAAAATTTTTATTTTCTTTATATTTAAGCCATGTATGAGTTTTAGTACGATACGGAATTAGATTTAATGACAGAGAACAACGTGTGAAAGGTAATAATGAACGATTCATCTAAAATAATAATGAAATAGATTAATAGGCTTTCGCTAAATACTTTCAAAGATTAGTTTCAGAATAATGAGATGCAATCAAAAGATCTTCAAGACTAATTCTGATTTTGACGTAGACGGGACGATGGTATTGGAATAAAAAAAAAGTAGTCTAGTATTTTTGGTTTTACTAGCAATGGTAGAAAATTTATATCATCGTTGTATTAATAGAAAAGATTTATTCTAATCGTATCGATTATAAAATCAAGAAATATAATCTAATTTTTGAATGAATTTTGACTTGTACTATATCAATTAAAATCAAAGCTAACGAAGAAAGACCTTCAAATGATTAAAGTTTTTGAGCCCCAGTCATAGAAGATCGATAGACTAGAATATTATCCAAATGATTCTTAATGACATTAAAATTTGGCTAATTTGTTGACTATTTAGTGAGTTTTTTCTGTAGGGATCCAATTTTACGATAAAATCCGATGGTTGAATTTTGACCTGAAAACTTTGTTCACATGAATGTTTCAGCAAGACTAGCAGCTTACGTACAAAATTTCAGAAGTTTACGACTGAGTGTCTTCCAGAAATTCATATCTCAAACTTCAAGTAGTTTTCCATTGATACCGTATAAAACATGCATATTTTGGGAAGTTGCATATCTAGCAGGCACTCGATTGAAAACTTCTAAATTTTTTTGTGTATACGAAATTCATTAAAAAGTCAATATATCGATCAAATCTTAACGTCAGCACGAATTGTTCGGAGCCTGTTTTAATCTATAAGTCCCCTAATATTGGGCAAAATATGGACTCAAAAGCTTGTAATCATCTCAGAATCTTGCCTCTTAAGTGGAAAGATAAAAAAAAAACCATTTTCCTCGTTAGTTCAAACTTTCGAAGAAAAAATTCCTATTCATATCATACGGATAACACATAAGTAATTTTCTTAAGATACTTCCTTCAAAGAACATGAGCAGATTTCAACTAAAATAGCATTTCTATATGGTGACTAAAGTCATAAACGGTTTTATATTATTCAATCTATTTCATAGTTATTTATATTCTATTTTCTAATAAAAATTAGTTTATGATTAATATTGCAATACGAATTTAGTCAATCACTTTTCAAAGACATTTTCGAAAATCTTTAACAAGAGTAAAACTTTTTTCGATCCGGATAATGATTATTTGATGAGTATTACAAAAATCTAGAATGATTTCAACGCTTTTAATTCATCAATTTATTTTGGAAGTCGGACTCTGTGCATAAGATAGACACCACTGAAACATGACAAACCTCAAAAGAATAAGTTCTTTTAGGCCTTCTATTCAAACTTATAGGTATTTGACTAAAATTTTAATCTCCAACATGGTATATATCAACAAATCGAATGACAATATTTTGATCTAAGATTTCACCAACAGACAAATCTATTTATTCGTAGAATGTTCTGAAAAATTTCAACTCAAAACAATATTTTATTCTTACGATATGGAAATATTCTTTTGAGCCGAAACTTACAGGACATTCTATCTGCATTTTCTGAGATATTCAATATTTGAAATTCTCTTACGTGTTGGAGCATATTTTTTTCATATATTGATATTTCCAGAAATGGAATACTAGTTACACAATCAGTTAACCTCGAAAGTCCATTTTTTACCTGATCTGAGGGGAACGAAAGCCCAAACCATTCTCGACTTTTCGTTTACTCATCAAATGAACATTGTCGTGGTCGAACAGCAATTTGAAGTCTGGAGAGGTTCCTTCATCATTAGATGTTTTTATCCACTGTACTTTTCTTTATCCCGACTAGAATCTTTACTCTGAAAAATATTATGATATTTCAATGAATTCTATACCATTTTCACATGAATAAATCATAGGAATAGAAGATAAACATTGTAATAAGTTCTTACAAGTAAAAAATGTTTAAAAAGAAAAAATATGTTGGTTCTCATAGATCTTTTATTAATATATTGGAGAAACCAAAAATGCAGACAAACAAGAAATAATGCATATTGATATTTCTGGTTGTTGCTGTTCTTGTGTTTTTTTGTTGTTTATTCTTTTTCTTCAGCACGTAAACGAGCATTTGGATTTGTAACCTTGATAGCTAATTGTTGAGCACGTTCAATAATTTTTTTACGATTTGGTGCTGAAACTGTATGAGCTATTTCAGCAGCAAATTTACGATTTTGCATTAATAACATTTCAAGTTCCTAATTAAAAAAAAAATAATTTATATGAAAGAATAAAAACGAAGCACATTATTTTTTTGAATTCAATTTACCTTAACATTGTTAACAAGAAATGCGCGAAAACCATCTGGACGCATATGACGTGTACGTTTATCAGAACCATAACCAATTGAAGGCATTAAATAGACACCCTTGAAGCGTCGACGGACACGATTGTCAATACCACGTGGTTTACGCCAGTTTGGCTAGAATATGTTAAGCCAAAAAAATATATTTTTCTTTGAGAGAAATTTCAAAAAGAACAAACATACACGTAGACGAACGTATCGATCACTTTGATGGCGAATAAATTTTTTTGTACGTTTTTTAAGAATTTTTCCTTTGACCAAAGGACGTAATTTGGTCGATGTCGCTGCCATCGTTTAATTATTTCTGATCTAAAACAATTCAATGGTAATCATATGGTTATTTTTGATCTTTTCGTTTCTTTTCTTTTTTTTTTTTTTCGATAAAGAAATAAAATAGTATTTCGGCAATATCTGTTTTTATTCAAGCCGAAGAAATTTTTTTTGTTATCAAAAACAAATTAATGAAGATAACAAATTGTTTTCTATATTTATTTCTTTTTGTTTGTTTATTGTTGTTCGGCACCACCACGATTACCAGGAGGTTGACGACCTCGACCATAACCACCACGCTAAATAAATAAATAAAATTCATGAAAAAAACAAAAGTTGAATCATTCAACTTACAAATTCAGGTCGAGCTGATCCAGCACCAACTTCACCTTGTTTGTCATATCCACCTCGACGATATTCTTGTCGACTTTGATCAGCAGATGGTGATGTTGGTCGAGCAGTTTCGACTAAATCATTTTTAATAATCCAAAAGAAGTAAAATTTCATTTCATGTTACTCTTACCTCGTTTAGCTGTTTTAGCACCTTCGGGACGTGTTGGTCGTTTGAGTGTTGCTGGTACAATTTCAGGTGGTAAATTGAGATATTCACGTAAGAAATTGGTGCCTTCATTATTTAAATACCAATAATAATGACGCCAAGCAAATTGTTCTTTGACCAAATTACGTGATTTAAGTGACTACAAATATAATAAAAAAAGAAATTTTTTTTTTTCAGATTCCAAATTTAAAGAAAAAAGAATCTAACAAACTTGAAGTGCTTTAATGACATGAATATTTGGTACTGGAATAGCTGGATGTTTATCCAGACCAAAATCTTTTTCAGCAACAACGACACCTTCTTTCATTAAATATTCGTAGATAAGAGTACGATGTTTTTTTGGCATCAACATTTTTAAGTTGTTTTTTTTAATTGAAATCTAATTAGATCTAAAACGTAGAAAAAAAAACAGCTGAATATAATATCATATATCGAAGACTAACATTGTTGTTTATTAATGTTGAAATAGGTTTTGTTGGACAAAATAAAGTAAAAACTGGATGGTTAAGATGAACATCGTAACAAGGGTTTTCATTTATAAATTATTTTTCAATTTCAAATTAATCATTTTGAGATATTTATAATGATACTGGATTGAAAATTAAAAATTAAACAAAATTCTTCTTAAAAAAATTGTGCATTGCTGAGATGCTAGTGACATCTATTGAATAGTTCCATGTATTTAATGCCAGCCTTCTCATATGCATCCAAATATGATCTTAGTTGCCTCGAAGAAATTCGAGTACTACAAACAATTAGTAGTACAAATTTTTGAACGAGAATTCAATTGAAAGTTTTAAACTTTTTCAGTTGAAAATCTTTTCAAACGAAGAACAATGCTCTCTAAGTTTAGTTAAATGAAATTTTGACAAGTTATGCGAAAATCTGTCGAAGAAAGAAGGATACTTACGTCCTGTAATAAAAGATGTTTCATATGCAGATAAAAACAATATATTGAATATGAAAAGAATCTCATTTCTCCTATTTGATGTTGAGATATAGTCCACTACAGAAGACAGCTTTTGCTAATAGTATAGTTTTCGGCAATTGAAAAAAGGAATCTTACTAAAAAAACGCATAATCTTATATTATATATGGAAGAGAATCAGGGCTACATTGAACTAGAAACGAAAACTTTTCATCTGTCTTTCATCAGAAGTTATAAGCACTGTATGAGAAAAAAATATAACGTTGACACCTCATGAACATTATGAAAAAGAGACTTAAGCTTGTTGGAGAATCAGTATTCTGTGATAGCGATAACGACAATAATTTAGAAGTCCCTAGCCGCCATGATGGTCAAGAAATCGTGGTGAGAGAGTTAATCGAATTTATCGTAGTCAATGCATTACTCCACGGCAAACAGTTATTTGAATAATCTGATTGTTAAGTATATTAAATTAATGGACTTCGATCATTTCTACCATACTAATTTCTCTTACTATCGGTCAATAAAGTTGTAAGTACTATTGATAATTTAACAAGCTAGTTACGTACATTATACATAAAGTAAATAAATAGCAGCAACAAATTTCGTATCAGTAAACTTCTGAAGCTTGATAACACAGTAGATTTACAATGTTCTTTTATGGCAACTATATCTAGAAAATAGTCTTGTAAATAGGTATTTTGTATGAAATCTGTATTATTTTGTACCCTCGAATAAGTCAGCATTGTAAAATAGTAATTACAAATTAAATCGATAAAAATTCGCCAACTGAACAGCATTTCAATATTTTTCTGAAAATGCTATTGTTGACAACCCATGGCATACTGAAAGACCGTACAGTAATTACTGAAGAAAAGATCAATGAAGTTAACGATACTTGTATATATGAGCCGGAATTAAGTGTTCGCTCAATGTAACTTTTCTTCATAGTGTTGTTGAACACATGGTACCTTGTATAATTTTAATAAGAGTTGTTTCGCCAAAACTAGATATATTATTGCTTGTGATAATGAGCAAGTTTGTACAATAGAGCGAATACTTGATTCTAGTTCATGTACACAAGTGTCATTAAGTTCATCGACTTTTTCTTCAATAGTAGCAGTCTCAGAAAATCGCTGAAATATGATTCAGTTGATGTATTTTTTATCAATTCAATTTGTAAGTACCATCTTACAATACTAACTTATTCGAATTCGATCATGAATAAAACTTTAATGAATATGTGATCAAACTGTAAAAAAAAATATTTAAATCCCTTGACTTGCTAAGAAGTTATTTAAATTGGGTCGTCTTCATACAAGTATTTTCATATGCAAAAAAAAACTATAAAAATATTCTTCGTGTTTATTCTTGGTGAAAAGTCGCTCACTTATGTTTTATTGTGTTTAAAAAAAAATCAACTTAATTATGCAGCATCAAAAATAAAACAAAGCAATTACAAGAAATCAAAATGCAGTAGTATCACTAAATATACAATAAATAGTAGTGTAAAAAAAAAAAGTGAAATACAACATTAATTGAAACCAACAAAATGCATCAAATACACGTGAAGCAAAAAACTTAATGAAATGAAGTCAGTTTAAAAAAAAAAGAATTATGTCCTTAATTAAATGAAATATTCATTCGGTGATGCTTTGACGAAGAATTGTCGTCTTTTGACGTTGTGTATCACCATCTTCAACTTGACCATCATCATCATCATCATCATCATCATCATCATCATCGTCATCGTCATAATCATAATCATCTTCATCATCCGTATCGAGTGTATCTTGAATCATCTGTAAAACACGTCGATTATAGTCAACTCGATTATCACGATACAGCAAAGCAGCTTCTAAATTAGCTGGACTAAGTGGATTTGGATCAATTAGAAGTAGACGAATTGAATGAAGTATTGCTAAAACATCATAAGATGGTAACCAACCATCTTTAAGTATATCAACACAAATAAGTCCATCATCCCACCAAACATTTGGATGAAAGAGTTTTGTAATAAATCGAACTTGTGGTGGTCGATTTGGATAATCTTCTGGAAAGCTTAATTGAAGTTGAAATGTACCAGATTCATAAATACTTTCTTCTGGACCACAAACAATAGCATTCCAGAGAAGAATATTGTCTGCTGATGGACTTGCATCAATTCCATCTACTTTATTTTTCATTAATTGTCGAAAATCTTGTTGTAATCGTCGAACAGCCATTAATGATGATGATGATGATGATGATGATGATGATGATGTAGAATGGTAAAAAAGAGAAGGGGAAAGGAAACAAGAATGATAGATCTACAAAAAAAAAAAATCACACATTTTATTTTATTTTTTTGCTATAGAAAATAAACAAAGTTTTATCAAATGAGATTTGTATTTAAAGTTATTTTACTCTTACGAGCTTCATAATATAATGGATTATATTCTTCGTCTTCAATATTCATCTTAAACATAAATTATATTAAAAGAAATAAATTCATTTGAAATTGAATACATACATTAGATAGACTTTTAAGTAAGTTTTCATCATTGTGTTTTTGTTCATGTTTAATTATTTGACGTGTTAAGTTTGGTAATGGTAAAAGAAGTTCACTAGAAGCAATTGAACGTAATATTAAACTATGTTCTGAAGCAACTGAAAGAACAAAATGTCCAGAAAATGATTGATTCATTATTGATGACGATGAACAATCATGTAAACAACAAATTAACATTAATTCCTACGTGAATAAATAGATAAAAAAGAATATAAGAGCACAATGACTTACGTTTTGACGTAAATATTCTGTTAAAGTATCAAAAGCGATTTCATTTTTTTCAATTGATTCAATATCATATTTATGACATGCTGATGATATTACAAGAAGCGGCTATAAAAAAAAATAAAGACTAGGTTCTTTCATTTTTCTTTTTTGAAAATTATATTACCATGCCAAATATCAATGATATACAATAATTTGTTTGTTTAATAAAATTCAATGCTTTTAATTGATAAATTGGCAATAATAACGATGAAGAATTTGTAGTTAATGTTGATATTCTTGATGGTTCAGTATAAATGAACTATAAATATATTTATAATAATAAAAATGAACAATATAAATCTTACAAATCTATCATGATTAACTTGATGATGAGGATCAATTAATATCTCTTGTAAATCACACCGAATCATGTGCCACGAATGATCAACGTGATCAGCTAAACAATAAATATGACGTATTTTATTCAACGTATTAATATGAATCATATTGACGTTTATCTATTTATAATTTATATTGTTTTTTCTCATGTATAAAAAGATTTATTCTTATTATATTGGAGAGTAGACTCCATCGAATCCAAAATTTTCGAAATAGAGTCTGAGACTAACTCAGTTGATCCTATTCAAAAAGCTATTTAATAGTAGTTTTTCTTTTATTTAAAGACAAAAAAGCGAAAAAATAATCATACTTTTACTTCGTTAATGAAATGAACAACGCCATGATGTACTGAAGTAAATATTTAATAACAAGTTTCCTTTAACAATCACACAACTCACATTTTCAACTTTTCTCACTCTTTCTCTATATATGTGTATATACTAACAACGAGAATACTGAACCTAATTCGAGTAATAAAGCTACTGTTAACAATAATTTGTTACATTGAAATTCAGACGAATTAGTTTACAAAACAATAATTTTTTTTTTTTTAAATATTTTTTTCTCTTCGAACAATAACAATAATTTTATCTTATCGCCTAGTTATTGCATAACTGATCATGAGTATTGTAATTCATTTGAGGTAAAAGAAACGAAATATAGAAATCAAGGCTATATAAATAGGTCCTATACAAAAGCAATGACAATATCTTATAATAAATAACGAAAAACAGATGTCACGAAGCTCTCTAGTGAAACGAAAATAAAATAATCTGTCACGAAATTTTGAATTTCATTGATTTATCTAGATTTTTACAATGCTTAAATTCTTACACATAATTAATCCTAATATATTAATAATAGTAGAAACAACACCATATTGTGTTGTAAATTCTTCAACGCCTATCTATATCACAAAAACTCACTCATGAAAGTTTTAAAAAAATATTGCAATAGTTTAACATTTTTAATTTCATTTTTCTCGAAGCATTCAGCTTCACTTACTCTTTAAGTGTACTTTATTTCCTGCTGTGTCATAAATGTGCGAACATTTGGTTGTTGTAGCTCATCTACGCATTACTCTCCTTTGAATAGAAGGAATAATCTTTGTTATCTTACTCAATTAGAAAAATTATCTTTCGATTCCTAATTTAACATCAAACAAAAAAAAAAGAGCAGATGAAGATGCTTATGAATAAAGAAAAAAAAATAAACTACTTTTTTCAATCGTAGGTAAATACAATTGAAGATGTTCATTTTCATGATCGTCTTTTAATAACCATGATTTAAAATAAAGACCAATCGAATATTTATCTTTGAATATAAAAATAATTCAAATAAATGAAATAAAATGTTAGCATAACTTACTGTTCAATACATATTTGATATTGATCAAATCTAATGATGATATGTTGTGCTTGAATGATTCTATATTATTATCGTCATTAACACATACTAATTCGATTTTCTAAATAAACCACATTACAAAAATACCGACATTTTATACCCCTTGTTTTTGTATGTAATTGTATAAAATAGATGAAGAACAGGAAAAAAAATCGATATTAAACAAATGACGTCATTTGTTTTTCATGATATTTGAATAACAAAAAAAGAAAAATTACTAATTAAGAATGTTTGGTATGCAATATAGTATTCAGTAGGCAGTTATAATTTTCTTCTATCTTTCTATTGAGACATAGCAAGATGAAAGACAAGAGAAAAGAAATTATTTGAGGGTAAAAGGTAAACATACAGTCATATGATCATATTTATATAATACATACGTTTTTATCGATATGGTTGCTTTGAGTAAATCGATGAATATTCGAAATGACTGAATCGGATACTTGATTGGTTAAAATAATAATTTGAAAATTATGATTAATCAAATTTGATATGATCTGTGAAATGTAAACATGTTTTTTATAATATCACACTAAACATTTCTAGAATAAACTAAGATATGCAACATTACATACATTACAATGTAATAATGTTGAAGATCATTCAATCCGTATTTTCGATCTGAATATCTACGTAGTTTTAGGTGCTTTTGATTTATTTTCAACTGCATTTGACTATCTTTAAACTACAAACAAAACCGACTGTCAAAATAATATTATACATAGATAGTTAATTTAAGCAATAATCAAAATAAAGTCATGCTTGATGTGTTTTTTTACTGTGGGTAACTATACAGGTAACGAGAAATGATTAGACTTTGGACCGCTGCAAGTTAAACGTGTCGCTTTTGGTGAAACAAAAACCGCAATTATGACAAGGTCTTTCAAAAAATTATGATTGCTTCATTGGATGAGCAAAACTAATCTATCATATGATATCAAAACCAAACATCACTACGATTTATCTGTGACATTATTTTTCCTCTATTCATATTTTAGCTGATGTTTTTTTTTTTTCATAGTTTCTATATCGAAAACATAATTTTTGATGCGTGAAAAGCATAATCATTATGATGAATTAAATGAAAAGTCAAATATTTCATACTGTATAAGACAATTCGTGTGAATTTTTCTAATAACCAGCTGATGTAAGTCACATACATGTATATATGGTTGTCTCATTGTCGATTTTTCTTAACTTTGCTAAACAAAAGTTAACTTCAATTTAGTGTTGAAGCTGCTTATCTTTGATACAAGGTAAAAAATGATTGAAAGTCATTTTCGTTATGTTTAACACACATCGAATGTATTGGGAATAATTCACCAAATGATATCCTTTTTAAGACTATTCGTTGGATGTCGTCAAATGGCATAATTCATAGAAGTCCTTGAAAAAGATTGAATGATGTTATAGAGATGATGATATTCAAAAAACCGTCGGATATTTATTTGATGAGTGCTAACGAACGATAGAAAAATCTAGAATGGTTTGATTTTTTCGGGCATTCGTTTTTGAGATATCGATATTGTACTAGTTTTTCAACAAAAATTTGTAGTCACATGAAGAATTGGCTTTAAAATTTGCATGAACGAAATTGTCTATAAGATTAATCTACGAGGGAACTAGATAATTTTCTAGTATCTCTTATCCTGAGATATTCAATATTTATAATTCTCTCATGTATAAAAGCATATTGTGTTCATCTATCGACATTTTCAGAAAGGAATCGTTAGTTGCACAATCAACAAGTTTCATTAAGAATTTTGTTCGTGCAAACTTCGTGGTTGAAACTCGAAAGTCAATTATCCACATGATTTGAAGGAGACCGTAGCTTTTTGTTACAAAATCACATGAGATTTCCATATCTCAAGAACGAAGACTCAGAAAAGCAAACCACTTTAGACTTTTATGTTATTCATCGAATGAACGTCATCTCAGTCGAAAAGTAATTTGACATTTGGAGGGGTTCCCTTGTTAGATAAAAATTTTAAAGAATGATATTTAATGATTTTCTTATCGTTTTTTTTTCTGATAATTGCATTTCCCATTGCACTTATCTCTTTCTTTTTTTAATCATTCTTGTGAAATATATATATATATATATATATTTCTTCCAACGTTTCTACTAACATGGTTTCTATTTCAAGGATATTAATTCTTATCTCTATTGCTCTTTTGTTTTTTAAATGATCGATCTATAAGATATTTGACTCAAAAGATATGCCAGCAATAATAACAAAGAAAATATTACAATCATAATTAAACTAACCTGATTTTCAGTATTATTCTGAATAACTGAATTGATTTCGATGTAAGCTAATTGTAAAGCAGATTGCCATGATACTGATGAAATATTAAATCCATTTGATTTTATTGACCATTTTTGAGCAAGTAGTTGCAATTTACACAATGCTAATTGTAATTCCATATGATTATTATATGTTAATGACAATGGAATAAAAATCTAGAGTAATCATCAAATTGAAAAAAAAAATACTATGGTCATACCAAAAGTAATGACGAAGATATTTTAATGCCTTATAAAAATTTTAAAGAAACGTTCTCTCTATACAGTCCAATACTAAAAACACTGCTCTACATTTCTACGATCTTTTGATTATTCTTCAAATAATAAAGTTTCGACAAAAGCTAATTATTATATTATTTAACGGAAATATTAGAGCACATTTTGTGTCTTTGTTCTTCATTTTTTTCTCACCTTCTCTAATGTCTAGCAGTCTATGCATTTTAAAATATACAAAAAATGGTGTAGGTAAAACAAAGAAAAAAATCTAGAAATAAGTTCCTCGATTCTTTGAGTAAAGAATAACATAGGAACATGTTGTTTAAATAGATTCAATCTATACAATGGAATTTAAATAAAAAGAACGATTGTTTCGAATATTCAATGAAATAAAGACTTGATGAACTTGTTTTTGTATTTCTTTTTTTGTTCTACCAACACTACTTTTTGTATATTTTAATATGTATAGACAGCTAGACACTAAAAGAGGCGAGAAAAAAAGAAGATTACACACCAAGAGCAAAATGTGATCTAATATTTCCATCATAGATTATAATCAATAGCTCTAATCACAATTTCATTATTATGATATTATTTGAAGAATGATCGAAATATGAGAGAAATGTGAAGCATTATTTGTACTGTTAGATTATATGGAGAGAAGATTTCTTTCAGCTTTTTATAAGAAATTAAAATATTTTTTGTTCCTACTCTTAGGATGACTTAAATAATAAAGAATATACATACTTCACTTTGATGTTGTCCATTAACGATTAGTCCAAACATTGGTATGCGTTGTACACCAACATACGTCGATATAACACTAAATAGTTGATCAAGCCCATGACAAATACCTTGAATAGTTTTTTCACTTAAACCATAATCAATAAGTAATAAAAGACCTGGATATGTCGATCGAACAGAACGAGTATTGGATAATTTCGACATTTTTATAAATTTGAATGATTTCAACCATTAGATTTCTTTCCTTTGAAATTATGTTTATCTAACCAATGAATAGTATAGATCGATTGATATACAGGTGGCGCAATAAATGAAATATCATAAGTAAACAGAACAATAAACTTCGTAATCCACTGATTTATTTGTTTAATTTTCTTTAAAATCCTACGAATATTTTCTTTTGATAGTCTTCTACTATCCTCCGTATGTGCATGGTTTATTGAAAATCTTTTTATTCGATTCGATAGAATAGAAAGCGGCTGTAATTATCATTTAGCATGAGAGTGAATTAATGGGAACAGAGAATGACTTGTATATCTGCGATAGAAATCGATTGATTATTGAGGTTAAATAATAACAGAATAATAAATTAGTGTGTTGTTTTTAGACACATAAAAATGCAAAGTTCAATTATTCGATGCATCTAGTATTAAAACAGAAAATTTAATCAAACGATCAATAAAAAGAAGAGATCGTGGAATTGAAATAAAACACAAGTTACAATGAAAATATAGTGTAATCAGCAATCTATCAAGTGAAGAACAAAAAAGAAAATTAAAGCACAAATAAAAGTTTGAATAAAATAATAGGAAACATGAAACAAACATTTTATATCACATAGTTATAAATGTGAATTTATCCTCGTTATTGAGTATGAATCAATCTTCTTGTAAATTGTTTACATTTCGTGTGTACTTAAGGTTAGTATGATTTTATTGATCACATCATCTACATAGTATTTCCGTCATAATCAATAGAGTTTGCTTGGACAGGTACTGATATTTGAACAGTAAGTAAAATCAATCGGTATCCTTTGTTTGAAAAGAAAGTTCTTCGTTTTCTCTCGTAATAAATTCTAATTTTAATCGGTAAATGATAATCTAATTTCAATTTTATTTAGTATTTGTTCTAATTGTTCATCAGTAAAATTACTAGAATATTTCTTATCAATAGTGCCAATCGAAGTTATGCTCTTTCATCTAAACATATTTGGAAAGTTGAACAATACTACATTGTACGTCCATCTATATCTCACATCCAAAAGATTGAATACGTGAGAGAAAAAAAGTTAATTTCTTCTTCAAACAAAGATCAACTACGTGTCCAACAGTCATGTTTCGCACTAATTTGGATATGGATAACAGTTTCCTTTTTAATTATTTTACCCTATCTTGAATGAGTGGATAATATGTTCATTTCAAAATATGTACTAACTGTTTGAAACACTTGTACATTCAAGTAAAATGAAGAAAAATGTCCTATAAACCAGTTTATTATAGATTTGCACAGCTAAATACAAAACGACGGGAGATATAGATATTTATGCTCAAACTTTTCGACGACGTAGAAAAATTATTCAAGTATTTTACGTGATCGTGCTCTGGCTGTCAAGTGATTAGACCATGAGATATTATATCTGAAACCTATCATTTTGTAAAATATACGATTGGGCAAATAAGTAAAAAGACATGTCGTTCAAATTTGATGGAGGTTTACTGTTGGTTGAGCCATAGCTACATGCTTTTTCAGTTTAAACCATAATCATGTAGATGCTTTATGAACAATTTCTGTATGGATACCATGTGAACTGTATTTTAATTTACCTTGGAACTCATATCTTTTCCACTATTTAACAGTTCGTGCTGCATCTATTCAGATGGGCAAGCAATCTCTTGACCAACTCCCACATGTCAGTCTCATTCACGAAAACAAACGTTCGACTCCAGACAATGGTTTTTGAATGTTGATCTATTCTCTCTGATATCTTTTTCGCTGCTGTAAACTTGATATGAAATATTAGGATCTGAAGCCGCTTCGACGTCCCAAGTTTTTGGCATGTCAATGTTCAATGCCAATGATCAGTTGTTTCAAAGTCAAAGAAATGCATTATTAATCCTTACTAATAAAATAAATGTCACCAGACCAGACTGTATGGAAGAAATCTAAGAATCGACATGGTAGGAAACATCACAGAGTAATTATTCGTCGTTGTGTGAAATCCTAGTACCATTAATGCATGTTGTATAGTGATGGCATCGATCATGTCTGTTACAAATCTACAATTACTGCTGTTGGATGACCAATGTTGAAACATATTGTCCAGAAAGTTCTAATACAGAACAAATAGTCGACAAATATTTATCTTTGATGTGTTCATTCAAGCTGTTGAAAATATCTATTGTATTGAGATTTACATTCCTTTGAGTGAACCCGATATATTGTCTTGTTGAAATCGATGCCCTCGAATATTGTATTATATGTAGTCCTTCTGACTGCCTTATGTCTCTTGAGTACTTAAAATCAAACATTCGTACTTATTTCCTTCACTCGCCACATCATCCACAATTTCGAACAGAAGAGTTGTGATTTTCATGCATCGTTTATCCTGATGCATTCAACGAAGTTCTTGATAAGATTTCATGAAAGGATGTGTGTTGTCAAACGATCCAACGTATAATCTCTGATTTCGAAAAACTATGCCACTTTCCCTGACTCGGCATCTCTGAGGATCGTTAATCAATGATGAATCAGCTATTTTATAGCTCCAAGAATACCCGAAAACTTCAACAAGAAAAGACGTTTTCCTCTCCGCATTAGATATTACTTACAAGTAGAGCGAATTTCTATGTCTATTATACAATATGGCAATCCTGTAAATAAGTTTTCTTAAGAAGAAAATATTTTTTGCTTGCTGGAATTTTCAGAATCAACAAAGAGATGAACGTCAACTAAATTTGCTTTAAACTTATGATTGATTATCACAATGTCTCGTGTCCGACTTGGCCGTTTTGGCCATATAAAAAGCAAAAGTTGTTATGGAAAATATACAGTTTTAAGAAATGTTGTTTCGAAATGTTTCAATAATTTATTAATTTTAATTATAATCACAAACGAATATACACAAACGAATAAAATATATAATAAAAGCAGACAATAGTATTACAAACATTATAAAACTGATGGCACACCGAAGAGGATATGAGATGGCATATAATTGACTATAAGGACAGATTTGAATTTTCTCAGCGACACTGAACAAAAATTATTCCATTCTGAGTACCTCTCCATAAACTTCAACGTTGTACTCCTCATGAAAATTAGGTGGTTTGAACATTGATTTCATCATGTTCAATAGTTTTCAATTCAAAGCTAGTCGTGTTGGGGTCATTTCGTTTTTCTGCTGTTTTTGACATTTCATGTACTGGAGCTGAAACAGTAGTAGTTTTAGTAGTTATCGTTTGTTTCTTCAGTATCTTCAGTCCTTGTCTGACCTCTGGTAAACCGATCAAGGCTAAAAATGGTGATACGGAAGATGTTAAATATGGTAAATAATGAAGAATGTAAGTAATAAACCAGGTACCAAAAGATGGATCGAAAACATTTTGTGCAATAATTATTACAACCCAAGGCATCCAAGCTATTAAACACATTAAACTGATGGCTAATAATTGGGCGATCATTCGGCGATTTCGTCTCAATGTATCGGAGATCGGTACTGATGTAGCTACTTTTCGTTTCAGGATGACAACACGAACAATCATTAGTAGATTAAAAATTAATACAATAAAACAGGGCAACATGGTGTCAACAATGGTGTCATATGTATTAACCGAGGTCTCGGCAAAAAAGCATGCACCACCACAAGTAAATGCTGTTAAATCATATTGATAATTACGTACACATGGAGAAAGAACGATCAAATACAAATAGAGAATAGGAATGTAGAGAGTAGCAATACTCATTGGAATAAAATGGAATAATACTTTTCGTTTTAAAAAACTATTTTTATGGAATACCAGTAGATAACGTTCAACAGATGCATACATAGTTAAAAATAGAGATGTTGTTTCAAGTATATAATCCCAATAGACCCAAAATGTACATATTTTTGATGTTTGAGCATATCCTAATGCAAGATACGACAATGTAAATGGTAATTCAGTCGTAATTAATAAAAAATCAAAGATCAATATCAATAAAATAACGTGATGATTGATACGATCAACAAGCAATGGTTTACGTTGTCGAATAAAATAATAAAATATTATGAGAAAACAGACCACTGATGGTAGTGCGAATATGATTAAAACAGGTATAGTTATACTACGTTGAATTTGACTAATAAAACATTGACCATTTAATGAAAATGATGTATTACTCGTTTGATTATTCATCTTTTATTTTAAAGCAATGCAAATCTTTCTACTATGTGATAACGATGTCTAAAAGTATTACAATTAAGAAGAAGAAGAAGAAGGCTGCTCTACTGAAAAAAACTTTCAGGAAAACATTTTTTTTTCTGTGAAGTGCTACAAATCAAGAAAGAATGGCTTCTTTCTTGTTGAACGATATAAAAACATGATGAAAGCTTATATTGTCCTAGCAAATAATGTTCTAGAAATAGGTTATGCACTTTTATGTTATATGAAGCATCAGTAAATCAACGTAATCAATCTCATTTTGATGATAAATGATTCGCATTAATCTTTGGGTTAAGATTATCGAATTCTAGAAGAACTGTTTCTCTGATTTTTTCTTTCATTCATGAAATTTTCAGTTGATGTCTCGTTGGACAATAACTCTATAACATCAGTGATAAGAATCGCTATTGTTTCTCTTACCAATCTTTTAGCTAATTTATTCTTGAAAGATCATCTATCTGTAGGATAGCTGACTTTTCTACTGTTAGCCAAGACCTGCATGCCAAGTAGCTAAGAGTATAGATGTGAGGTAAATGAATACTTTTAATAATTTTTTAAGAGTGTGTAAAAAGTTGAAGAAAAAAGAGTCGAGATAATAAGCAAAAAAAGAAGATATGTGCTGAAATAGTGATATAAAATTAATGACAGTAGAAAAAATGAAAAATTTTAGGCGTAATTTTGAATTTATATTTTATTTTTTTATTTTATTGTGTAATACATAAGATGTAAGATTATGACCTACAAAAGTACGTATTTAGCTTTTTTATATTTTGTATTATTGTCAAGAAAATTGAGTCTTTTTCCCGTTTAGTAGTAACAAAAAGCGCAAGGATAAAAAATATGTTCTTATTGAGGAATTTTCATTATCACAGTTCAATCAAATGGCAGAAAGGATTGCATATTCTAAATCAGCATCAAAAAATACAATTGTGATTTCTCTCAGGGCTATTTTTCTAAAATTTTGTTCCTAGTCGTGCAGAAGACAATTTTTCATAAGAAAAATAGTTCCCGAAACATATATGATTCAATGTAGTTTTTGGTACTGATTCAGAATGTGCAATCTTTTTTGACTTTTGATTGAACTGTGATAATAAAAACTCGTAAACTCAAGCACATTTTTCAATCCTTTCGCTTTATGTTACCACCACACAAGAAAAATCTTCAACTTTCTGGATAATGATACAGAATATGAAAATGCTAAATAAGTATTATTGTAGGTCACAATCTAGTGATTATAATGCGATAAGACATTTCTTTCTATCTCTTGTTATAAGAAAACAAAATAGGTTTACATGAATACTCATAAAATACGTGCTATGAAATGTATTCGAACTATCTATATTCCACAGTATTTTTTAAAACTCATTAACTTGAAATCTAATCAAAAAATATTGTTCTACTAAGTTTTTGATACTAAATTCGAATAACATATTTTTAGATAATTTAACAATTTCTGTAAAAAATAATCATGTTCATAATTACTAATGCTACATTTGCAGTCATTCAAGTTTTTAATCTTTTTCTCATCCAGACGGATATCACCTCGAAGAAAACTAGACATTCCTGATGAGTTCATCAAGCTCAATCAAACCATGCATCAATGAATGTGAAAGAAGCATTCAATTTTTTCATTTCTCGCACTTCAATACCATGTCAGAGTAAATGAATAACAAATAATAAATGTATAAGTGTGGATGTAGTTTTTCTCTTAACCTACAACCTTATAGATGGAGAGTATGATATAATCTATTCCATCAAGCAGTTAATCAGTTTCGTTTTGACAATCTAAGGTCCCCATGAAACAAGAAACCGAGCGATGAACAATGGAGCAGTCAGCACAAGTCGTTTTGAGTATGTGTGCAAAGGAATAGACGAATGTGGAATATAAAAAAACTTAACACAAACATGTTCATCAAATATTTTCGGCTCCTTTCATTGACATTGATGTCTATGTGATGGTTTCTTTTTCCATCATGTTCTAGCTTTGCACATTTAGAAGATAGTGAGTGTTAGAGTCAGATATCTTCTATCTTAATCAATGCAATATGAGTGAATTGAAATTTTAAAGAAGAAGGTTAAATCAAATCGAAGAAAATGTTATAAGTTCGACTTTTTTTTTGTGATGTCTGTATCCATCATTAACAAGCATGTAGAGATTAGCATGTCCAGTTTTTCTGGTCATGAACACAAACTTCAGTTGACTTCTTTTTCAAACCCATTTTAGTATTTCATATCTCTACTGGAGAAGTCCTATCAGTAAAAGTCTTTCAAAAATAATATTCATTCGAAAAGTTCACCACAGAAATAGAACACTAGTTTCATTTAGCGTTCATAAAGCTTCAATATTAGTAATGATGAAAGTGAAGTCGTAATATTTGGATGAAACTGGTGACTCCAATTACAAGATGTGTTTAAAGGAAGAAAAACAGAACTGTATAGAGGCACAGAATTCTTTCATTTGTTTCGACTTTTATTATGGAAACATACATATGTAAATGGCCAATAATATAATTATTAGTCTCAAATGCTGACAACACAAATGTATCTAGTATTGAATGCTTTTTCCAAGTGTATCGTATGCAAATTAAGTTTCGACACGATTTTTCCACTTTTAGCGCAACGGGAAAAGATCATTTTCACTTGAAATCAATGACTAATCGAGCAACAAAAAAACATATTGTCAAAGATTGATGTTGAAGCCGATCGTATGAATCTTCTTTGACATTGTCTCGATCATTGCTCAAATTGGATACTGATCGAATAAATATGACCAGCCAGATCTGTTCGGAAGTGTCAAAAGAACTAAAATATCTCTAGAATTGAAATATTTCTTAAGGTTAAATCGATTTCGATGGAAGAAGTTTCGTATTTTCTCAGCTGTCTTGCCCTCCAAATAGTCGAAATCTTTATCGAACAACATAATTTTCATTTGGTCTTGGAAAGTAAGTCACACATTGTAAACCATGGTTGGTAATAGATGAAGTTAAGTTTCGATGTATTAGCTCTTTCTCTATTATTCATGATCAATCTACAGAACAATCTTACGAGGAAACTACCCAAATTGATATCCACCATTTAAGCCTATGTTGGGTTTACAAGGAGATCTATATAAGACTATAATTGATCAGGATGTATTCAGAGTCATTTACCTATTCATAGACAAAACTTCTGATCGAAATTCCACTATTTGATTTTTTTGGTAATTATCTAAAGCTGGATCGAATGTTTAGTAAAGGGTTATGTCTCAGCTCCAAGGTCGTATAGTATGCGGGTAGGATCGTTTGCAGATTGAATCGCTTAATAGAAATTTACATTGAGAATTTTTAATATTTTACGATTAGATTTCCAAGTTTCTCTTTCTATCTATTACTGCTCTCTTTTTCTTCAAATTGTTTATGGGATCGTCTTTTGTACCAGTGATATATTTTTTTTAGAACTGACAGGACAAGAAAGTTAATTAGGACGCATGAAAACAACAAGATGTGATATAACAAAAACAAAATGATTATTTAACTTGAATTTGGAGACAAGATTGTTTCGTTTATTTATTTATTTTGTTGAATTATGAGCAAAAAAGCTTGACGCCAAAAAGAAAAATCAAGTCAGCAATACATATTTTGTTAAGATAATGTTAAGATAATAAGATATAAAGGAATGTGAGAGAGAAATAAAATACAAATAGCACACCTAAAGCATTCCAAATTGTCACTTTGAATAAATTTTTCTTTAAACACCTGACGATTCATTTGGTACAGTGACAAGTTGTTTTCCACCTTGTAAACATGTTTTAAATTGTTCCGGTATTGGATATTCTTTATATTCGCCATCACCAAATGGAACATTAATTGTCATTTCAGATGATTTTGATGTTATAAATTCTGTATTTAATGAACTTTTAGATAAATAAACATGACATCCATCAGTTTTTTCAATTTGAATTGTTGGTACATTTTCCAGAACTTGTGCTTTAACTTGACGACAATTAATAAATTCAATTAATGATACAACAGATGTAAATTGTATGCCAACTTTTGTACATTGATCAAGTACAATTGAATTAACTTTACCTTGAATTGTTATTGTTGAGTTTGAACATTTATAAATATATATTGTTTGTCTCATGCTTGTTTCTGTTATTTTTAAATCTGTTCGACCATTTTGATATTCAACAACCCATTTGTTGCCTTCAAGAGCTAATTTGGATGGACCAGTAACTGAATTTGATGATGTGTTTGATGTATTCATCTAAATGAAAACAAAAAAGAAGCAATTTAATGATTAAAAATCAATTTTCTAGATTTTCAGTTTGAATCTTTTCTTTTCTAGGAGTAGATTGTAAGATAAACAAATATTTTTCAGTGACACTCAAATCTTGTACATCGTAAAGACATACTTTTAAGACTTACAGTAATATGAGAGTGTGGATTTTCGTTTCTCACATATTCTTAAAGCACATATTTTATATAAATTTCAAGCTTCTGAACTGTCGATGATAAAAAAAAATTAAATAAAGTAAAAATCCTTTCCGTCATTCAAAGCGGTAAGGCGTTCTCTTTCGAATGAAATCAACCCGAGTCCTCTATCTTGGTCTTTGAAAATCTCTTGAGTGATAAGGTATGGAGGTGTTAAAATTTTTTTATCAATGTACTTCAATGAGTCGAACATCTATGCAAAGTTTTATTAATATGTTATGTGCTCTGTTGAAGTTAGATTTTTTAAAGAAAGGCATTCTTAATGTGATAAAAATAGACATTAACTTACTGGCAATTTATTTGAACGTTCACTTGGTTGTTCTTTTAAATTAGGATTTTTATGAACTTTAAGTTCATCGGGTACTTTTTTTAAATGAATTGTTGCATTTGTACCCAAAGCATTAATTGAATTCATAACTCCAGTTGGTGATGAACAATCATCAATTTGCATATTTGACAATGAAGATGTTGGAGGAGGTGGATTTCGAACAAAAGTATTTGCATCACGTTGATTATATGTACCCCATGTTAAACCAGTTGTATGATATTGTTTAACATATGCATGTAATTCATTTAATATTTTTATCCATTGTTTAACCCATTCAACATGAATTGAATCTTTTTCTTTGAAATCTTTTAAAACTCGATTAGTATAAAATTGTGCAGCATCTAACATTTCTTTAATATGTGGTGCAGGCGTTGGTGAAACAAGAATCCAACCAAATGCTGGAATACCTTCAGATATTGATGATAAATGATTAAATAATGTTGATTTACGATTGTTATTTGTAAAAGCTAAATAAATATTTCGAGATAAAAATATTTTCAAAATAAATTAAATGTTTTTTTTTTTTATTTACCAACAATTTTTTCAATTTCATTTGATTGTGGTTTAATTAATTCTGCTATTTGTTGATCATTAGTAGGTTTTTTAGTTTGTATTGCTTGTCGAAGAAATTCTCGTTGAGCATCAAATAAACGTTTAACATGATCAATGACTGTTGATAATTCACCACCAATTTTACGTGAAATCATCACAAATGATGCAAAACTATCATTTATAATTGCATTATAATCACGTAAAACAGGTAAATTATCTATATTCTCATTCGAAGAATTTTTATGACTTGTACCAGTTTTACCAATCGATGATTGTAACTGATTTGTAACAGATTCAAGACGATTATTTAAATTATCAAGACGCTTTGCATGTGAATCCATTACTAAATAAAGGAAACTTCTTTTTTTTTTTGTACAGTATTTCATTTATACTATTATTGTACTAGTTCAATATACTTAGATTAAACTTTTGAAAAAAACTACTTATGATGATACCTCTTCAGCAGCCTACTTCTGAGTTCACTAATTTTTTGCCTATAGATGCAATATAGTATTTACATAGAAAGTCTAAAAGGATTTCAGTACCTATTGAGATTTGACTAAGCTATTAAATTTCTAATATGTCTATTTTTCATAACTTTCCTTTATCGAATTGCATTCAATTAATAGTAGACACTAAAGCGTCAAACACGATGAAATCGTTGAAATTTTTCATCAGCACAAAAACATTCTTCTTGGGTCTTCTGTAAATTAAATACAGTTCGATGAAGGAAAGTCACGAAGACGACTGAGACATTGCATTTAGCTAAGTATTATTTGCTCTACTAAATGAAACCATTTTCAAAAATCTTCAAATAAACGCCAAAAAACTGGCTTTAAAAATCATAGTTTTCCAGCGATTCTCAACTACATAGTTTTACTTGAGTTTTTAGTTTAACCAATCCTGTTAGAGAATCCTTTCAGTTATTGAAATGTTTTCAGATTCTCCCTAGCTATCATCATTGAGAAGAAAACTCAGAAATACAATTTATCTAAACTTTGTTCTGTCACTGTATATAAGATGCATTTTTTGAAAGTTTCATAATTCGATAAAACATTCTGCAAAACTTCTGAATTTTTTAAGAATCTATAGGCAGAAACTGATTGAAATCGAAATGATGCAGCTGAAAAAAGCTCCGTCGTCAGAAGATTGTAATTTTTTTTCTACAAGTATTTTATTGGATTTGACTTGAATTGATACTAGGCAGGCTCTGAAGCTTCTTAGATAGTGATAATGTAATATTTCCAATCATGCTTAGTAAAGAATCCATTACTCACGTAGTTTCTTAAGATTTTTTTTGGGTGCGAAAAAGAGTATCACTCATTAAGATAATGCGGAGATTATTATTCGTAACAATGATGTCGTGATCTTTTTTTTTTCTTAAGCAACAACAAAGAGCATCAAAACAGACGTGACCTAAATCTCTTAAATCACATGATCTAGGATCAATAAACTCACACTATCATGCAAGTTTCGATGAACTGGAAAAAAACTGTTTGATCAACAAATGAATATCGTTCAATAAAATATGTATTAAAATTTTACTAGTTCTGAATTCCTCATCTATATCAAATAAAAAAAAATTGAATAAAGTTCCATATGAAAAGAATTACGAATCGAATAATCGAGAAACAAAATTACGATAGTATGTTTTTTGATCATATATTCATTGTTAAAGACAACTAACTTTACAAAACTCACCTAGTTAAGAAAACTTGATGTATGAAGAAAACAACGTTGTTATCGTTAAGATAAAATCTAGAAATAAAAAAATACATCTGTGACAGAGCCACATTTATTCAAAATTAGCTGCCACCAATTTACACTTTCATCATTCATTGGGTATTAAAGAAAAACAAGAAGTAAGATTACAATAAATTTCGCTAAACTGTGGACATTAGCATATGTCTGAAGTTTATTTGATGCATCTATGGCTTAAATCAATAATGGTAGAGATATGAGCAGAACATGATTGATGTCATAAATGTTTTTCTTACTGGTTGATCTATTGACCGTTTTTTTTTTCTCGTTACCTTTGACAGAAACAGAGGGAGGCAGACCATAAAAGGAATGAATGAATCATTGAACGAACGGAACAATTATCCATTGGTTTTATCATTGACTATTCAAATAATGAGGTCGCTTTTTTTAGTTAAAATATAAGGATTAAATATCTCTACTGATACAGACTCGATCGCAATGCCAACAATTGATGGATCAGATTTCATTATATGATCATTAGGTTTAAATCTTTTTTCCAAGATCCAAATGAAATATCAAATTTATCACTTCAGGCATTTATTCATTATATAGCAAAACTTCTTAAACATCTATCCAAAAATGTTTCCAAGGTAATTCATATATGCTTTTCGATCTCTAAACTTTATTTATTTAATTTTCATTTTGCATTTTCGATGTTTTAATTAACTAGAAATCGTCACATAGTGGTAAAATTAGTTAATGCAAGAGTTGAATAATACATAACTCAATAGAAAGTATCAAATTGCAATGAAATCTATAATGAGATTTTATTAAAATTATTTCTAATTCTATGTAGATCTTGCGACGAATATCACTTAGTATTTTAATAGAAAAATCAATGATAAAAAATAGTAATTTATACAGTCATACAAAAAAAAACGTGTCGCAATTCAAAAATTTCTTCGTATACATTTTTGTATAATTATAACGTGCAATATTGTAGATTTTACTTTTTGTCATTGATTTTTCTCATGAAAACGAATGATACTCATTGAAAGCTTCACATGGAATTAGAAATAAGTTGAATAAAATCTAATATTGTATTTTGTTGTCGTTTTATGCTTTTTATTTCCCTATGAAGTAGTGAGCTTTAAAAAAGCCTACTAAATCTATTATGTCATCGTTCGTACAATGATAAATTTATCTTGCTGCTATTTTGACTTCAAACTTTTATGAATTAGTTTTAATTGGATGCTTTTTGTTTTTCTTTCTAGTCTTCCAAATATACGACATTTTCAATGATCTTTTATATTATCCGAAAATTAAATATAATAATGCAATTACGACGAGATCGATTAACATATTTTTCCTTTATAATAATTTTTTGTATTATTTTTTTATTTTATCAATATCAATATGCATCGAATGATTCATCACGAATAGTACCATTTATATCAACAATAATTAAAAATGAAAAGTTTAAAATTTTACCTAATGAATATTCAACAGTAATGATTTTTTTTTTGTAAGAAAATAAAATTTTGTTAAATAAATTTACTTATTTAGATATGGTTTAAAGAAAATTGTTTTCAAATAAAAAGTTCACATAAGTTTGCAGTAGATAATATTCCAAATTATTTAAATAAAGCTCGTTTATCAACGAATCAAATCTGCCAGTAAATCTATTTAAAAAAAAAAAAATTTTTTTTATTTATTTAACAGACTATTTTTATTTTGTTTAATAGAGATTTTGTTAAAAAATTTGATGCATTATTTCGTCTTGAAGAAATTCATGGTTCATTGAAACTATCACCAATTTATTTAAAGAAAATTAAGCAATATTTTAATAACAATGATGCACTTATCGAACAAATAAAAAATCAAGTAAATAAAATTAATTATTTTGAATTTTATTCTATGTGTTAAATAAGAGAAAATCTATATAAATATTTATTTTTTCAAGCGTATAATTAAAATTTACAATCGACACACACATGAAGAGATGCTATATAATTATATGCGAAGCCAACGTCCACAAACTAAAAGCGAACAATCTGCCGAAAGCTAGTACGATGATAGCAAATGTTTTAAATAAAATAATGTATATATGTCAGTGATCAAACTTGTATCATGAGAAAAGTTGGGTAAAGAAGAAGAAATCGAGACTTTTGAAGTTCGATAGTCTCATTTGAGTCAAGAAAGTCTTTTTCCGTTCATAGATTCTCAATTTCAAATGTATTGTATTAGCTAACGAGAAAAAGTTTCTACGGGTAAAATTGGTTTTCAGTCAAGACTATGTGCATCATGTAGGTTCTAAATAGCTATGAACATTCTGAAAAGAGTTCGGGCTAATCGCTTATTACTGCCGAGATACTAGGTTTTTACAATGTTTTTTTTTTGTGTAGAATAGCTTGTTGTGGAAAGTTTTAGATATTTCGATTACTATCGTAATATACTGATATGGTAAAAGCATATTTTTCATGTCGCTCATATGTAATGACTAATTTTGATGTTATTATTTCAAAATAGACGTCCTCGAAAAATTTGAAACTTTCACAATAAACTATTTTAGTTAAACACTATCTATGTAAAAAGTCTCAAGTCCACATTTGAACCTCAATCTTCCTGGTATGTCTAAGAAAGACTACAGCATCGTGTTAGAAAATATAGTATTTCGGCAGTAATAAGATATTATCCCGAACTCTTTTCAGATTATTTATAGCTCATTAGAAGTTACATAATGCACATAGTTCTGCGTAAGCTTATTCAACATCCGTCCAGACTTCAACCATTTTGATCATTTATGCATATCAAGTATTAGATAAAACTTAACATTTTTAGTTTTCTCTTAAATATTGTGTAACATATTTCATTGAGATGAGTTGACCATTGTAGGTAATCATTTATATGATAAAGCAGTTTATCACATGTATAGATTCTTAATATTTGACATATAGTGTGAAATCAATTGAAAAATAAATATCATGCTAAATAATCAGCTTTTCTCTTGGTTCTTTTTGTGTTCAACTCTCTCTAGAGAGTTTAGAGTTTCACGACAAAATGAAAATAATAATAACTTTGAGTAATCTCAAAAGTCTATACAAACTCTACGAGATTAATAAATAATTGTTTTCTAAGCGATTACATTGACTTTGATTATTTTCTAAGATAAAAAAAAAACCATAAATCATTTTGAGGCTTTAGACTTTTATTAGACTTGAAAGGTGACATGGTGAAAAAGACTAATTCTATTTAAGAACGTTTCAGTAATAATTATACAGACACAATAGTAACTCTGCTGATTATTAAGACTCACTATAGATTATCGTGGTCTATGAATGACAACTAATTATATCGCAGTCATCAAAGATATTTGATTTGATTTCTCAAATCTTTAATTCAATAATTTTCCTTGTAGTTGTATTGTTCAATAGAAATCACCTGTTTCTGTCATAGTTTATGAATAGAAATTTTCAAAGCATAATTTAACTTATCGTTGATTCAAGATTGTATGCTGACATATATGTGCTTGTATTGATACCTCTTGCATGTTGTTTGATTCTTGCCTATTTGATATATCCTTTGATTATGTAATTGTAGAAAAAAATGTACTCTTCTTACTTTTCTGTTGTATTTTTGTAATAGTACGTCAAAATTGATGGAAGAAAGCAAGAAAAACTGTGATTTTTGTGGAAAAAACTATCTTAATTCAACAGCTGAAGATTCATTTGGACGTCTTGAACGTACTCTTTCATATACTGCAGCAAACACCTTTAAATATGATCATTGGCATACATTGATTGTATCACGTAATCATGATACATTACATTTAACAGAGGATGAAATTGGTGATATGTTTGAATTAGCAAAAGAATGGTTTCAAAAAGCTTATGCAATTGAACAAACATATACATGTCCAGAAATGATATGGGATGCTATGCCGAAAAGTGGTGCATCACAAATGCATACACATCTTCAAGTTAGTTTAGGTTTTGATATTTATTATGGAAATATTGAACGAATACGACAAGGTGCTCGTCTTTATGCACAAATAAATAATGGAAGAAATTATTTTAATGATTATCTCTATGTTCATCAAGCATTAGGGTTAACAATACCAATTGGAAATGTTCATATAATTGCTCATCTGGTTAGTTGATTTGTTTTGTTGTTTTTTTGTTTGCAATTTTCTACTATGAAAAAATCTTTTCGTTTTTATTTTTTAGACACCAATTAAAGATCTTGAAATAATGATTGTTGGTGAAAAACTTGAAAAAGATTTTTATAAAGCATTACATTTAATTTTTCGAAGTAAGATGAAAATTTATTTATATTTATAATTTTACATTTTTATTTTTTTAGCTTTTGTTGATGATCTTAATGAATACAGTTTTAGTTTCGGAATGCATTTGCCACCAATGGTAAGATAAAATCTTTTCATTACACTATGACTAAGAACAGTTAATCTACTGTATGAATTGAAAGCTATATCTACTTTACACACAATTAGTTGTATTTCAAGTCATTGTCTCTAATATATTTTCTCATTGTTAGAGTTAAATGTAAATGAAATCGATAGTTTATTCTAGCTGTGAACTAAAATTTGTAGCTTGGTCACTCTAAACATAGCTCTCATGAGAGATGGAATCAGTCTGATTTTTCGATAACTAGCATCGATACTGATCTGAACAGGTCAAGCTGGACTAGAGATCGTTAAATACAAAATTTCTGCGCCAGAATAAACTCGAGGGACTCGACAGGGGACCGACCGGTAATTGCTGATAATCATTTTATACATTGAAACTTTATTTTATACTGGACTCACATGAATGATGAACATGTACTATAATTTTTGAGAGCTTGAATGATTCTTTGAAAACTTTCAATATGTGACTTTCCATTAAAAAACTAAAGTACAAAAGAATATTGATAAATTGAATTCGGTGCCGTCACTCTGTTAATTCTCTAAATTCATATGTTAATCTCAAAAACATTATGATTTCGTTATTGATAAAAGTGATTTAATTGTTAAAGGTGTCTAACTTATTCCTGAGATGAATTGTTGTTCAATGAACGACTTTGATCTTGATCGAATACATATTATTCTAAGAATGTCTTTTTTTTGCATCTTAGCAATGATCAATCTATTTCTCTATAATAACTATTTTGTTTAAAACACATGACATCAATCAGAGTTGGAACCAATCTGGTGTTTTGATGATCGGTATTACTTCCATCTCTACTTCTTATCGTCAAATCACTATGTATACTCATCAGGTGTAATAGAATTGAGCTCACCGAAATGATTCTAAAACCTTTGCCTGAAAATAAGTTGATTGTGCATGAATAAACATGTGTTGATATTGAATCAGTACTATTCTCTAAATTTTCGTCTGTAAAATGTATTACTTTTAATTTGATTTTGATGAAAAATTCTAGGCTTTTCTTTTCTCTATAGAATGAATCAAGTTCAAGTGGTCATGAATTGCCTGTTAGCTGTCGTCTTGTTTTTCGAAATCCTGTCACCAATTTACGAGCAGATATGAATGGACTGGATTTATATACGGTATATTTAATTAATTTCTATTATGTTTTATCAGACGTTTTATTGTAATTCTTTTAGAGTTCTGTGATTGGTAAAGATCGTTATGTGCTGTATCGACAATTAAAAGAAGGTATAACTAAACGTCAAAACTAAGAACAAACATCAAAATACTTTTGTATACAATGAAAAATGATAGTTGCCATGATTTTATGAAATATATATACACATCAATGATAATAACTTCATTTTATCTTTTTGTTATCTATGTTTTTTACGATTTGTTTATTTACTCAACGAATTCAGTGACAAAATATTTCGTTTTGTTCTTTACTGGTCTTTCTTTTTCCTGTTATTCATAATTGACAAAAAAAATAAACGTAAAAAGTAAAAAATATATGTTTTATTTTATTCATAAAAAGTTGGTTTTTAATAATTACGGCCACTTAATTTCGAAAACATTCTTGGTGGAGGTGATGAATAACTCTTAGGTGAATTTTTGAGTGCTGCAGCCAATACACAAGCACCAATCAAGCCAAAAAGTTCAACTATTAAAATACCACCTAATGTGCCGCCAACTATTGGTAAATTCTTACTGAATAAATCAATTATAGCTTGAGAACAACCCTTCGAATCAGGATGCTCCTTACACCGTTTAGATTCTTGGTCAAGAGTGTAGGAATCATAATCCGATTTATTATGGACACCACAGCATTTCATTGAATTTTCCAAATCATGGAAAGCTGTTATTGTCTTGTTATCCTTATTTTCCAAAGCAGTATGTAAGATTTTAAATAAAGGTTCTTCAAAAAGATTTTTAAGTTTTCCTTTATACACCAATGCCAAAATAAAAGCAACTAATTCGAGGATCATTAACAGAATAAGAATTATAGCATACATAAATAATAAACATCGATTATTCCACAAGGCTCCTATTTTAAAAGATAAAATAAATATGAATTTTGATTTATCTACCTAACGAAAAACATACCTATACAGCCTAACAAGGCAATAATAAGAGTAAAAATACCACCACCAATCATAACAAAAGCTAAAAATCCAAGAGTTTTTACTTCAAAACTGCCGTCAGTAGCCAGTTTGCTCAGAATTGATGCAAAATTAGTGTCCACTTTGATGTATATACCGATACCGAGAAGAGCAAGACCAATAAGTACAAACAGTGCGTTGAGGAAAAGTAATACTCCTCGCATGAACTCAACACCACATGATAGTTCTTTGCCCATCGTGTATTGTTTATTATTCCTTTAAAGATGTTAACAAAAAAGTTTAAATGAAAAAGAAGCAGAAGAAGTAATTGTGGACTCTTATTTTATAAATGCAATATGAGCAACTATGATATGATAAGAAACGCTGCAAAAAAAAGAAATATTTGTTGACTTAGAGTCACTCATCTCATGTCCGACTCACTCGAAGCTCCCATGTAAAGACATACGAATATAGATAACACTGATTCATCATCAATAGTATCAAAGGACAAAGAAAAAATGACGAGTTTTGTTTCATTGTTATCATGTTCGAAGTTCATCTGCGTATCTAGAATAACCTAGAATATTAATAAACAAATATTAATAAACAATATCTTATTTCTGGATTTTTGATTCACAATTATAGTTGAGAAACAAAATTCATCTTGTTTTTTTTTTAAACTTGATTGTCCAGTTCAATTCTACAATAACAATATTGAAATATCATCTCCATTCTTGATCGAAACATGCATGTGATAATGTTTATTATTTACTCATTTTCATCTGGATATTTTAATAGGGAAGATTTTCTTAAGATTAGAAGAAAGATATTTATCTGTAATGACTTATGAAAATGTAGATTATGTGTATGTAATCAAAACACGAGAAAAGAAGTGTGTTTTGTTTTTTTCATCTTATGAAATCGAAAAACTATCTCCTAGCAGCAAGTACGACTCCTTTTTGGGTGGCCACGCCTTAATCATAGCAGCTTGAAACTCTATTGCTAAGAGTTCTGAAAAAAAAAGAATGTACATTAAACGCTAAAATGTTAAGAGTAGGAATTGAATCGTTGACAGACGCATTGGTTCTCAGATATCGTTTGCTTTATTACTTCATTTCATATTCATTTGTTAAATTTATAAACTGAATTGAAATTAATTTTAATAAACAATTCTCCTAATACCAAATCACCCTAACTGAAAATCTTGTAAACGTTATTGTGACGAGTATAATACTTATACTGACCCTAAACTTAAATGTGCGCAAATTTAAATACAAAATAAGTTAAGATGGAAACCAACACCATACAAGTTATACACATGTCTGGTTACATCTTGCTTAATCAAATGCTCTTTCTTGGTATTTTCAATTTTGTGTTTGTTCTTAGGTAAGTATTCAGAATTGAACAAGTATTTTTTAAGAAATATTATGAAGCAATCAATTTGAGGAAACAGCTTGCGAAAAAAAAGTTTCAGCTACCGTTAGGTTCAGCCACGCCATCAATCGAGAAGGTTGTGGATGATGATTAATTTGATTGCTTCGCCTCATTTTTACGCTCGGCGCATATCTTTGGTACGTGATTCAACAACACTGTTTGACGTTTATATACGTTTTCTCCCTATCTTTGTGATGTTAGTATCACTCTTCAAAAAGTAAATAGTATAAAATCTGAAGAATTTTGTGCTTTTATTGATTGATAAATTTAGTTATTTCTGTTGATATGATTTTGACGTGACGAACAATGAACACATTGAGCAAAATAAGATTCTAAATATAAAAGATTAGTGATTGATAAAGTAACACAGTCTGTTTGGTCGTCTACTTTACTGATGCTGACTTTCGACAATTCTTTTCGATATTGAGCCAGTACACCGGAATTAACTTAAAAACTTGCTGTTGGCATATTTTCTGAAAGTATTGTTTGACTCACACGTTTAATATTGATCGAAAACTTGCTCAGAATTTTAATAAAAACGATTATTTTTTCATAATTTTCTTCAAATACCAACAAAATCAACCAAATTCTTTGATAATGAGTTGGAGTCTTGTTTTTTTTTTTATCATAAAAAATATTTCTTTTGTCTGTTGTGAAAGACGATCTAAAAAGAGTGTTAAAGAGTGGAAGTAAAAATTTGAATCCACCCTCCACTTCTTCACAAATTGTGAAACGTTGTTAATATGTGATCAAAGATCTTCAATCAATAACGTCTCTTTACAATATATGGAACTACTTAATTATTGAATTTTTAAAAGATCAAGTAAAAGGATCAACAGAAATATTTTTCAAAACAGATAGAATAAAGCAATCTCTTTGTGATTAGCAACAGCAGTTACATCATGTTCCACATTTTAGTCCTGCAAGGATTGAGCTAACAGCTTTGTTTTATTGTATGTGTTCAATTAAGTTCTTCATGAATTTCACTTGCTCATGAATGACTACAAATTTTAGATAAAGGGTAACCTAAAAGTCACTCTACCAAAAAAAAATCGAGTATTGCCGATATCTTTTGATCAAACGAGCTGGTTCTTTCATCCATGATAAAGATGTGCTCGTAGTTCATGCCATAAGAAAAATATCAACAAAAACTGTTTTGAAGTCTTATCGTTGACCTAAAAAAGATTCAGGAGTTCTGAAAAAAAAACACAATGTATCCTAGTAGCCAAAATCAACAGTGCAGCTAATTTTTTCGATCAATTTTTCATACTATTGCTGTTTGCTTTCATATTTACACCAAAGATTTATGTTTTGTTACACATTACATCCTGAAAGTTTTAACCTTAAACCATGAGCATTTGTTGAAAAAGTAGTCCACATGCCTCATATGCTGGTATGTAGTTTAGGTTGCAGGAAATTTTCATGTCATGATTATCTCGCTCTCATGTCGGATTTACTTTCAAATTTGAGAAGTCAGATATTCTCACCTTTAAACTATCTCAATGGCTAACAAAACATCATCCAAGAATTCAAATACAGCAATTTCGGTTGCAGCCACATAAGAGTAAATGATACACATTTTATGGTTTTCTTAATCAACTTCTCGATGTTAATAACCGAAATTTTAGGGCACATTGACCAATAAAACATGTGTCTATGGTGTAAAGATGAGACTAAATAGTTAATGAATGTGAATTTTAATTTGATCACGAAGATATTTTATTTTTCATATATCATGAAAGGAAATTGTTTTTCATTGAAGTAAATGATGACATTTAAAAATAGTTTCTCGTGAATAGAAACTGTGAACATTATTTTATCAATGGTGAATAAATCAGTCCATTTAATCATAATATGGCGGCAATATTCAATTTTTCCTTAGCAAAACGACTTTTGGACCACTCTGCATTTATATTTTTTTATCAAGACCCAGAGAAATATGCTTCATTAAAACCGAGTAGAACATTTATTTACTGATCAAGAATCACCGTATAATCAACTATCTAAAGATGTTAATCATTTTCATACCAATCAATAAACTAGGTTTTCTTTTTAACAAAGAAACACTTTACGATATTCAACTATGAAAACAAATGCAGTCTTTTGATTTCAATCATTTGCAACTGCTCTGATTAATGTGTTCTCATTTGACAAAGTAAAACAATATCCTCTTTAATTAACTAGAACATTCTATACTGATAACGATCTGGAATTACGACGTATGAAGCATTTTGATCAAACATATACAGCATCAAAAGTTTTTAAATGGTACTCGAATGATTGATTTGCTTATTGATTATTGGTAAAAACACCCATGTATGAAACTTGTTTATTTCAACGATGTAGATGAATTTAACGTTTATCATAAATAAAAGATGGCTTGCAATAATTTTTCTCAAATAAAAATATATATTAGTAAAATAATATTAACTAATCTATTTTTTATCAACGAGCATAGATCAACAAATAGCTTCTATCACTGTAGGTGACAAAGCAGCATATTCTATGATAGAATCCGTAATTGGTTAAACTAAAATCAAGACCAATGAACCATAGAATAAATGTCACCATTCCTTAGCTAACATCTCTGATTTTAGTCATTCAAAAAAAAAACACGAAGTGTTTTTTTCAGTGTCATCAATGTTTAACATTGGGGAATATTAGCAAACAATTATGAATTATTGTTCGATATACTAGATAATACTGCGTTTTCAGTCTTAACTATAGAGATCACATATGAGTAGTGAGTATGATACTCATTAGAACTACCGCAGAAACAGAAGCATGAGTTAAATGTGGTTTTAATAAATTTTTACAAACATATTTTATTTAGTGTTTCTAATAATTTGTCACTTGTCATTAAACTTCATAAGACGATTGATCGAACTTATGTAGACGAAGCTGAAATAGCATAGCAATCCTTTGACAGTGCAGTTGAAATATCAGTTACAGTATAATCCTAATGATTTGTATACTCTAACAACGATGCACAATCAAAATGAGTTTTATCCATCATCAACTCAAGTCTAATAAACATCATGTACTTAAGTATTATGAAAAACAACATTACAAATGCATATATGTGTCTCGAGTAGGAACCAAAAGTGATTGATATCCGATGACCATCTATTAAAATGATTTGATGACTACTGAATCGCATGATGATCTTGATTTGGTTGTGAAACAAGAACAAATTGTTCTCAATATTCAATATAAATACTTATCATTATCACAACAACTAGCAGCTATAGCGCTTGTGAAGATCTATTTATCTTGAGATGAATTTTATGAAGTATTCATTCATTCTGATGAAGTACTTCATTGTCAATGTTAAATATTTACCTAATGGTCATCTGCCGATTGCTACTGCATATTTTAGTACAAATCTATTTAATAGTACAAAAAAGATTATATAACCTCAAACTATCAGAAAGAGATTTCGAAAAAAGATTATAATAAAAAATGTCCAGAATGGAATTGACAAATGTTTGACGGATTGTAGTCACATGAACTGTATTCATGGACATATAATAAGTTGATGTCTTTCTTTTATAATAAGTGTGATATTGTTAATACTTGGTTCAGTTGTTCCAATGAGACACTTAAGTATTTCAATATCACAACGAAGATTATCATTCGTTATTTGACTGATAATCATGATTTTTATGATGCATTATTGAAAACAAAGGCAGAAGTTTTCACATTACAATGTAATAGAAGCAAAGCTATGGAGTATTATAGTTGAAATGTCAAATGTTACAATCGACTTGGTTTATCAAATTCCTCTAGAATGGCTGAAATTTACTGTAATACTAGGATAATC